ATTATATTAGCGTCAGTTGAAAATTTTTACAAAAAAAAAAATCTATATGTATGACTTACTAAGCTATTTTAAAGAAAGGAATTTAAAAAAAAACTCTTGAAAAAGAGGTCGCAACGATGAAATTCGACTATTGCGAATGAGATAGTAGCAAATATGCAGAAAATGTTGCATTCAAGCTCACATCGTGAGCATATGCACATTTCGAGGAAAATATAAGGTTTCAAAATCAAACGAAACATTCACACTAAAAAATAATTGAAACAAACACAAAAACTAAATGAAAATTAGGTTGATCAATTTATTAGAATTATCCCTTTGTTTGTATCCATGAAAACGTCCTATGCGATTTCTGTTCCTTTTTTATTTCCATAGAGCAATGAACGAGTAACGAGACTGACGAGACAAAGTTCGTTATGCTTAAGAATCCTTTTTTTGAAAGGGGGCAAAAACACTTTCGTGAACAAAATTAAGCGCAAATGAAATGAAAATGAAACGAAGAATTAAAACAAACAAAAAAAAAAAACCTAATAAAAACTATTTTTAACTTTAACTAATAATATATTGGTGTTTTTGGTGTCTATGTATTATCAATCATACACACTCACTCACAGCAAAATTAAATAATTACAAGTAGTTTCGGTGTCGTATTATTAAACCAACAGCAAAAAATACATGTTTTGGCAAACGTTGGCAAAAAGTTAAAACAGAGCAAAAAATGCAAAAAATTTAACGGAAAAAATGTACTTTTTAGGAGGTTTTTCAATGCCAGACCCTTTAGATTTTCAGTGTGTGTGTATGTAAGACATTTTTGGGCCACTTTTGAACATTTTTGAGCATTTTAACATTATAGAATCACAACAAAGAAACAAACAAAAACTAAAAAAAACACATAAAGAATAAAAAAAAACACTTTAGCTCTTTAAAATCGTAGTAGAAATCAATGCTAAATTTAAAAAATTCGGGCAAAAATTTTGTTCCCCTTTTTTTCGGCACGTAAGAAAAATTTGAACATATTAATGAACAAACAAAAAAATGAGTACGTTTAGTCACTTGGACTTTAAGCAATGTTCATTTTTGAATTTACACTTTTTTTCGGGAAAATTTGGGTTTCCTTTTTCAAAAATATCGTAATTGATTTTGACATGGATTTTAATTTTAAATTGGGAATGTGAATTTTAAAAGCTGAGAATGTACAGAAAAAGTAGGAAAGAAAGAGAGAAATTGACACGTGGTTGAGGCAGAGGAAAAGAAAGAAAGAGACGAATAATGATTGTGATATTTACTAGACTTAACAAGAATCGTTATCGTCTACATTTACCAGTGGACACAGTTACCGTTAATTTTTTTTCGTTCCTTTCAATTTGATTAAACTATTTTGTGTTTTATTGTCAAAAACCAAAGCCACAGCCTGAAGCAACCATAAATGATTGCTCATTCAACTTGCAATAGACTTAAAAGTAATGCTTTTGTAACATATATGCAAACAAATAATTGAACAGAGACTGATTTCAAACTTTCAATAATATAAATAGCTTCATACCATAAATGGACTTCAACTTTCAATCGGAAATTCTCTTTTTTTTGCTTTCCCATTCATTGGCATTCGCTTATTTACCATTTCAAACAACAAAACAGAAGCCATATGAAACTACTTTTTTACGTTAATAGCAATAGATTTACCTTTTGCTCAATGTACTTTTTAATAAAATCCTCATTATTGTAATTAACAACGAATTTGTGGTTGTCCAAATAAAAATGGCAATAGATGAGGAGATGCAAAGTTGAAATGAAGAAAAATGTATAATTACTATATTAATTCAAATGGAATCTCTCTTTTTCATAATAAATCCTCAATGTATTTTACGTTCATTTTTTTACCTAAGTTATTATATAAAGGAACCCCTCGCCGATGAAAAAAAAAATCAACTAATACAATCATTGTATTGAGGTGCTATTAAAATTACTTTAAAAAACATTTTAAAAAAAATAGATTAAATGAACTATGTGATAACGCGGTTTTGTAATTATCAGTTTCAGTGAGCATTTTAATTGCGTTGATTTTTTTTTGTGTATCGACTCGACAGTAGAAAAGAAAAAAAAAATTGAAAATGTTCTAAAGTTTGTGAATAAAAACGCGTGGAAACAGCGACGATGCTAATTTCTCGAATTTAGTTCAAAATATTTGGAATTTTCGACACGATTTTAGTTCAGTCGGAAAATATTGGATTTTAATTCGGTCGTAGAAAGCCTTGAAATTCGACGTTTTATTGGGAATTTCTTACAACAAAAAAAACATACATTTATTGCTTAAGATAATTGATGGAATTAATTTTTCTTCATTGAATTGTATTCAATCAATATTATAATCAAATTAAAAACACTTTTATCGTACTCATTAAACAAAAAAAAAATTGAAAAAAAATCTCAAAATTCAACTTTTTTTAGATTAGACAAAATGAATCAGAAAATTAATCACAAAATAAATTACAAAAAAAAATCACAAAACCTATCTATCGTTCTAAATTTAAATGTTGTAATCATGTCAAAATTGCAATGAAAATTAGAGGCGATTTAGTCTAATAACTCTTTTTTTTGAAATTCCATTTAAAATTTTATCAGTTTAGAAAAAATTCACCACAAAAAAATCTGTAAATTTTAATTAAAAAGAGAAAAAATCTGAAAGACGATAAGAAACAAAAACTTGCTTATAATTTTTTTTATGAGCGAATGAAAACAACTAAACAGGAACTTGGCCTGCCGATAAATACCGTACCAAAAAACAAATACGTTTTTATTGATCAAATAGTCAAATAAAGGTGAAAAAATACAAACTTCACAATTCCTTCGATTTGCAATTACAACATTTTGACAAGCAAAAACAATTGAAAATGTCTTTTGAAAATAAAGTAAAAAGTTTGGAAAAATCAAATTTGAATGAAAATTCTCAATTCACTTGTAAAATCGGAGGAATATGTCTAAGTTCCGTAAATATAAACGAATGATCACGCAAATGTGATTTATACAAACAATGTGAACAAAAAAAAGAAGAAGATGATGAAAAAAAACATTTACAACGAACAACTCACATATTTTTCAAAATGAAGACTATATTTCTACACCACAAACCGTGAACAAAAATGACTAAAACAAATAAAAAAAACACACAGTTACCATTTACATAAAAAAATGAACCATGAATCAACTTTTTTCCAGAAGCTATTTGTTACCATTTTGTAATTTATTTATTGACACAGAATTTATTATTTGAGATTTATTTATTAGCGTATTCTGGTTGGTTTTGGTAAATACTATAATAAGGCACATGACAAGAGATTTGAGACGATGGAAATGGCAATAGAATCTATTTTTGGCTTCCACCAGAAGCTATAGTATGTGAATGGAAAGATGAGGAGTATGTAAAGTAGCAAGTAGATAGTTTAAAACAAGAAAAAACCAAAATGGAAAGAAAAATATGAACGATTGAGACGATTTTTTTGTTCACAAAAAAACTAATTAGAAAGATGGAGACCGAATGAAAAGTTTAAAGATAAAAAATGTTTCGAAAGTACCAGTTGGAGAAGGATATGCTTTGATTTTAAGTTTAATTTAAAATAAAAATAAAAAAATAGGTTTATTTCTTCAAAAATGAAAGTTTTGATTTGAAAATTTAATGGGCAATGTTTCTGAAATTAATCTAAATTCCACTATTTCGATGTAGCTCTTTAATACAGTTATTTGGCAATGCTCGCAAAAATTAAAAAAAAAAACAACTTAAATGACAACAATTCACCGAAGTTATTAATATCAATTATATTTGAGCAGTTTTTTTTTTTGAAGAAACAAACAAATTACCATAAAATGACAAACCTCTTGTTGTATAAATGTTAAATAAAAAAAAAGTAATTTAATAATAAATTCAATAAAAAAACAAGGCGTCTGCATTTTGAATTCCATTTTTATTTAGTTTCCTTTTTGCATTATGTAGGTATGTTTAAATTTCAAATGAAATAATTAAATTGAACCTTCTATGGTTACAAAATATCTTATATATACATGTTTTTTTTCAATCAATTTTTTGGGCTCATTGTGTACGCTCATTAGAGTTTTACAATAGACCTGATATGTACTGAGATTTAACTTGTCCAGTAGGTGGTAGTTTAATTAGAATGCGCGTAAGGTAAAGTATTGGAATCGGTCGAAAAATTAACATCCATCAAAAATGTGTTTTTTGGGCCAGGGAATACGAATCTAGCGTTTTTTCGATGTCCGAATGTATGTGCGTGGTACCTTGTACCCTGTTAACACGATAACTTTCAAACAAGAAAAGTAATTCAAAATCTTACTTCACAGGATGATTGGGGGTGCCGAGGAATAGAAACTATTAGATTTTGAGCGACTTTGGTTGATGGAGTAAAGTGTCATGTCTGGTGTGATGCTCATGGCCATCCATGGAAAAAATTCAATTTTTCTTCCAAAAGTTATATTTAATGTATACTTAAACACTCAAAAATGTGTAAAAGGGGGGGTTTTGGGTAGGAGAAAACCCAATATGACGTTAATTTTACGATACAAATAATTTTCGACACAATTTTCATATAAAAATTTCAAAAAATTGGATTTTTGTATGGAAGCCATGCCCGTATGATATCGTATGAGCTGAAACTTTGCACAGGTTATTTTTATCACACAAAAATAACATTCCGAGAGTTTGAAGAGATTTCAAAGCATATTAGGGGTACCACACACACAAATTTTTTGATTTTTTGCTCAAAAACGAAAATTTTGTATGGAAGGTACCACTCAATTGTATTGAAATTTCTTAAAAATTTCAGAATGTTAGCTTTTTGTGAAAAAAATAACATCTGCAAATTTTCACATGATTACGATATCATACAGGCATTGAAAGGTCTATCAAAAATTATTTGTATCGCAAAACTTATATCAGATTCAGTTTTCTCATGAATTCATATTTACGGTAAAAGATACGTAATAAATGCGTGTTGTGGATCACAGTGCGGAAAAGTTCATCTTACGGATGTAAGACATTTTATTTCTCTTGGTATTACGAACAAACGACCATTTACAAAAAAAAATTGTTGTTTTTCAGACTAAACTAAATTGCGTATGGTATATACCAAATGAAAAAATAATGATAGGTGAGTATAATGAATCGACTTTCTTCTTTGCTTTAACTTAAATTCAATGTAAACGATGGAAATCGACAAAAATCAGCCTTAATGTTGATTTTATTCAACTTTTGAATCAATGTCTTGGGAAATTTGATCGGCATCCGATGCGACGTGTAATGATTTCAATTGAAGTGTTTCTGAATTTATGGCGCTTTCGAATTCATCGTCATTAGATTGATCCACTTCCATATTTTCGCTTTCCATCTGTGATGCTGAGCTTTGTGAATCGAGGTCTATTATAGACGTTTGTGACTCTTCTTTGGATGATGACGTGTTTGAACTTTTGGCGTAAAAATCGCCTATGTTAGTTTGCCGAACCTTCAGCGGTGTATTTGCTTCCGCTGTTTTAAGTTCGTTGTCTGATTTTGACGCGTTGTCATTTTGGTCGGTGTCCACTTTATCATCTCCCGATTCGGCATCGTGAAATACTAACAGATCGCTCTCCGAATCACTGGTCTCGCTGTCGCATGTATTTTTTGTTTCGTTCTTATCGATATCATCTACCTGAATAATTTCTTTTTCGTCTTCTTTTTTTCGTTGCATTTTGGGTGGCGATTTCTTATAAAAACTGGCATCAAGACTATCAACGAGCAATGACGATCGTGGACGTTTTTCTTGATTTTCCATGCTGTTTGATTGTTTTGTGAAAAACTGTTGAATCGTTTTTGCGGGAAGTTCATCATTTTCGGGAGATTTTTTCGTTATTTCGATTTTCAACGGTTGTGGTTTTTTTTTACTAACACTTCTTTCCGCCGCTCGCGCCAACTCCATTGCCTCTTCTACATCATACTGATCGTCGGATCCAAAATCCCAATCCAGCGATGCGTCGGTGTCCTTCATGAGTTCATCAACGAGTGTGGATGTCTCTTGCGAATCAATTTGCTTTCGTTTTGGTTTCGCGATCGCTTTTGGTGCTGGTGTTACATTCGATCTGTTTGCTGATTTCGAAGACTGACCGTTAGTGCTTGGTTTGGGATCACTTTAAAGAAAATAGGTAGGAAGAAAGTGTTCAAGCCAAAATGAGAGACAGTTTGTGTGATTGAATTTGGTTAATGGAAACGATGAAAGTTTTTTTTTTTTTTTTGTGAAAAGATACAAAGCAGAAAGATGAAAAACACACAATTACCATCGATACTTACTTTTTTGTTTTAAGACAATCAACCAAAAATTCGTACAAATGAGTATATGATGATTTTTCAGAGCACCGTGCTAAGCATGACCATAACTGAGCTAAAAAAACATACAATTAGTTTAATTTCAAACCGGTTTCTCTTTCCTCACTGGAGTCTTACCAATGGTCACTTTTTCTTCGACTAAGTGTTCGAAAAACCAAAAAAGTTCTTGACATAATTCTTCATCACCGAATGTATAGTAGACCAATGGCCGTTTTGTAACACAGCACGCCATGAGTTGAAGTAATGACTTCAAGTTTTTGTCCCCTTTGAATGCACCGCATCCCCAGTTACCGGTCGCGATTGCCGGAGCTGCAGTAGGTAAATCATGTTTGAAACCAACATAGGCCTGGAATTAGAAATCCAATAAGAACAGACGAATACAGTTGGAGCTATTTTCTAAGTACCTTATTTAATTCTCTACGTATCTTGTCCTCTTCGTATTGGGCATGTTTGACACGGAAATAAATAGCATCAATGGCTACAATAGCACATCGTCGTCGTCTACATGAATCCAACGGTGTTTTGTCCACATAGTCACCAGCCCATTCAAATGTCGATGCATATCCTGTATATTTGTTAAATTGTTCACAGCCAACAATCGTCATACATTCATTATCTTGTAAAACTTCGGTGAACAGACGACTGCACAACAATTCTGGATTAATCATAAAACGTATCTCTTCCTGTACACATCCATAATCCAGTACACCGCCACCAATATATTTGTTTGCAAAATCAACTTGCAACAGACCATTGCCATCATCCTCAATCGTTCCCGCGCTCGATATATGCAACAGTGTATCATCAAAGGTCACTTGACATTCTTCCCAGTCTGGTAGCTGCGATTCAGGTACTAAACGTCGTGCAAATGTTACCACACCAGTCGGCCCTATTTTCAAGCGAAGACAGAAAACAAAAGATATAAAATTAAGTTTGAAAATATATGCACATCTACTTACTTTTAGATACCACCCGTCGAAAATAATTGCATATACATTTAACTTTCTCTTCATTGCCAGGCGTTGAGAATAATTCCGCAAAATTGATGGTCGGATATGAACTAAATTCTGAATTCCGTGCCTCAGAATTGCGGCGTGGAAATGTGCATAAGAACGCATTGGCCAAAAGGCACGCAATCTGTTCTTGACTTAGAGAAATTGATTTATTTTGACCTCTCTTCAGTAACGGGATCGAACACTTCACGATGTCTGGCAGCTGTAATGCCAATCGAATGATTTCGGGTAATGTTTGCTTAAAAAAACTCACAGCATCATTTTCGTCCATCTCCTAAGAATAAAAAAATGTATCATTGATTTTTTGTAAAACTAATTTCTAAAACGTTTTGTTCAACAATAAATTCTTACTTCAAATAAAGTATGAAGTGCTCTGAATTTCCAAACTTTTGCGTATTTCGGATTGTACGTCAGAACTGCCTTTTCGAAATCTTTGGTAGAATTAATTTCGCGCAACAAAGCCGTTTGAATGATTTCCCATCGTGTGGTCTGAATCGATTTGCTTGAATTGCTCTGCAAAAAATATTAAATGATGAATTAATGCAAAAGAACACATTTTTTCAAATAAAAAAAAAAAACAGAAACCATATTTACCGCACTCTCAGTTTTGTATTCATTTTGTGGCGCGCATGGCAATTTCACATGATTTGAATCCCATTTGGGTCCACCGCTTTCTATAAAGGGCTTCGGAGGTTGTACGGATCTTGTCGTTATCGGCAATTTAAACAAAACACTATGGTCGCGTCTGTGAACGATTTCTGGCAAGTGGTCCAGATCCCATTCATTAAAATTCCGATAAACCGTTTTGAACGGAACGCCTTTATAACTAACTGAACTCATTTTGCGTGCTTTCGCTGTAATATTAATATGTTTAATGAATTTCACAATTATTGAGTGCATTCACTGTAATTTAACAATTTCACCATTTACCAATTCGAACGTGAAAACTGTATCTGTTCTCGTTCATGAATTGCGACGCTATAGCTCAGATTAGATTTATTTGAGTTTGAATGTGTCAACTGAACTGGATTTCTTTTGTTTTGCTTTTGACATTTGCATTTAAAATTGAGGTTATGTCAACTGAGCACAAGTCAGTTGCTCAATTTGAATGCACATACGATTGAAGAAATATTTTACAATGAAATTCATGTGACAAAGACAAAAAAAAATATCAATGCATTCTAATCGATAAAATTTGAAAAAGAAAAAAAACTTATAATAAAATTCAATAAAAAGTAAATTATTTAATTTATATATAAACGAATAAAAATTATACAAAAACGAGAACCAAAGACGTCAGACAAAGAAAAACGTAAAATCGAACAGATGCAGACCCTGTTTGACAGATAGTATTACGTTTGGTTTGTATTGGTAACTACGACGATCTTTAACGAACGCAAAGTGAAAAAAAAAACTATATAGAGAATAACATCGAAATAAAGAAGCAAAATGGCTGCCCCATTGTCAGAAAACAGTATGTGTTAAAGTTGGTGAGGTGACGACGTGAAACGTATAATCGACGAGCAAAAACGAGTAAAATTTTGGAAAAAAGTGTACTTTGTGTGTTGATTTAAATCGGAATATTCTCGAAAAAAGGGAATTTAAGACAATTATTACGAAAATTTTATAAAAAAATTCATGGATTTCACAATTGAAGCCAGATAATATTCACACACAAAAGTTGTAGTGAAGAAAGAAGAAAAAAAAAACTTCCTGAACTCATTTTCACCAACACACAGTGTATACACTTTTTTTTTGTTACATCGCAATTCGGTTTCGCTTCGAAAGACGGAGCGATTTATTAGAATTTTTGAAGTTTTTTTTTTCGTTGCTCCGGATCAATTCGTGTAAATTGCGAAAAGAACGAGCAGCTTTTTCAATTCAATAGATTACATTTTAATACCGAAGAAACGGTTAGTCAGCCAAAATGAATCGTGTGGCTGCGAAACTGGATCCGTACATTAAGTACAATGACTTTATCGTAGGAGGAAAATATCGTGTAATTCGAAAGATTGGCAGCGGTTCGTTTGGTGATATTTTCCTTGGCCTGAGTGTTGTATGTGGCGAAGAGGTGGCCATCAAAATGGAAGAAGTAAATGCACGCCATCCGCAATTATTGTATGAGTACAAATTATATCGGATTATGGTCGGCGGTGTGGGCATTCCGCGCATTCGTTACTATGGCCAAGAAAAGAATTTCAATGTGTTGGTCATGGATTTGTTGGGTCCATCGCTCGAGGATCTATTCAATTTTTGTAGCCGCCATTTCACAATCAAAACCGTTCTCATGTTGGTCGATCAAATGATTGGCCGTTTGGAGTTTTTGCATTGTAAATGCTTTATACATCGTGATATCAAACCCGACAACTTTCTCATGGGTATCGGTCGCCATTGTAATAAATTGTTTTTAATCGATTTTGGTTTGGCGAAAAAGTATCGTGATTTTCGTACCCGCATGCACATCGGATATTGTGAAGACAAAAATCTCACCGGAACCGCACGATATGCATCGATCAATGCACATTTGGGCATCGAACAATCGCGAAGAGATGACATGGAATCATTAGGCTATGTTATGATGTATTTTAATCGGGGCTCATTGCCGTGGCAAGGTTTGAAAGCGACCAACAAGAAACAAAAGTATGAACGAATATCCGAAAAGAAAATGTCCACACCAATTGAAGTCCTGTGTAAAGGCTTTCCAGCTGAGTTTGCCATGTATTTGAACTACTGCCGAACGATGCGCTTCGATGAAGCACCTGACTACATGTACTTGCGACAATTATTCAGGTATGTACAAACACACACTCTTTTTCTTTTTCTTTCTTTTTTTCTTTTGATTAAAACAAAGACAACAACAACAGAAAAACATTCGATTCTTTTTTATATGGTTCGTTTATTTTTCGCCTTCATTTCGTTCTCCAATTAATCGCACGTTTTGTAATTTTAATTTGTTTGATTTTTATCAGCTTATGTGCACAATGCTCAATGTCACTTAGTCATAGTTTCAATATTGCAAACCGATGATGAAATTCATACGTAATCGCATGTGAAAAAATATACATAGAAAGACAAACGATTCGTTTTTGTAGTGGCTGTTTTTTTTTCTCTTCGTAATTGTCATTTTCTCAAGCTCGCTGTTTATTGTGAATGCATTTCAGTTACATTTTCGAAGAATTTCTACAAATGCATACGAACTTTTCGAAATATGCCTATTTTTAAAGTGCAGACGCTTCGTCAAGCATTAAATACATTTGAATAATAATAAAAATTGGAAGAGTGAGAGAGGGAAAAAAAATGTTATTATTGCAAAGACATTCCATATTCAGTGCACCCATATATAAGCACACACAGACACACAGGCAGGCACATACTGCAAAAACGAAACCTCACACAACTCTCTGAATCGCATTTATTTCTGGCTTTTCTTTCATTGTGAAATAAAATAAGAAGAATAAAAACAAATTATCGTGGATTTCATTTCGCTGTGCCTCAACTAATATTGTTGTTACGCGAATACAAACAGTACACACGAGTTCAAGACATTGTACAAACGTGTTTTGGTGTTGTTAATTGCTCTTCATATGTATTGTATAGTGTGTATGGGTTCGGTGTATCATCTTAAACCGAATTGTAGCCTGCCTTTGTTAGTTACTATAATGCCAATTGGCTCATAAAGAAATACGTACTTATGTAGTTTTGTTTGAAGAAATCAACGAACGAAAAGAGATTTTTTTTTTTTTGTTTCTTACATATACACCATAATATTGTGTACTTTTCGTTGTCTTTTCAATGCGCTATTTCACGAACGACTGAGCGGAAAAGAAAGAGAGAAAGAGAAACAGAAAGAAAACAAGACACAAAAAATCCCGAGACATCGACGAAATGTAAAAGATCTACTATATATTGATATCTGTAATTTATTGAAAATTTCATGACAAAATGCACAAGCATGGCCATAAAGAGAAAATTTCGCGAAAGAGTCGCATATCCAAAGTCACAAACAACATGTTTATGATTCATTCAGTCAGTCATTTTCTCATGTTGCTGTTTTGTGTTTTTTTTGTTTCGTTCGTCAAGGTAAACGGTTGCGGTTGTTTGGTTTTAATTATCAATATTTTGATACGTACACTTTCAGTCAATAAGCAAAAACTTAGAATATATATAAATGTGTGTCTTGAATTACATTAAATTTGCAACGAATGCAAAGACTTTAACAAATACCCGACCGTCCGCCCGTTCGCTTCTCAACGAAACGTGTTTACTCTTATGCTTGATGTTGATTTCTGTATAATTGGCATTGGAAACTTTATTTTTATTTCTCTTCTCTTTACAAAATTCTCGCGATTGCCACACAGAACATTATGCTCTTTGGTATCGGTCGATTGTGTCGACGACGACTTTATTCGATGTTTCGTTGGCTTCATTTTATGTGTATGTTTCGTTTCTTTCGTAGCTGGCGCAAGCACTAAACAATTTAATAACGAGAGAACGATAGACAGAGAGAGAGAGAGTGCGAGAGCATCGTGCTTTGTTGTTATTTTTCATTTCATTTCTTCAATTCATTCCATTCGGTATATATTCGGTGTTGAAATAGACGAAAATAATTTCGATGTTGGTTGCTTATTTTTATCAAAGACTGGTTGGTACGATGTATTTGTGGTGCGGTTTCCTATAAATTGTTGTCATCCCACTTTCGTCGAATCTTCTGTCATTTTATCTCTTTTTATTTTGTGTGCTGATTTTATCGATGTTGCGCGCACAAGCTTTCTTTTCAATACATTGACTCGACTATATTCAAATGTACCGTTATCATAAGCAGCAAAAAAAAATATACAAAACAAATCATTCTTCGGTTTACTACTATTGCTCTGCTGCTGCGGTGTGTCATTTACTTCTGTATTTGCATAAAAAATACATATTCATTGATTCCTACACAACCAAACCTGACTGAATAGAGACGCTCACAAGTAATATTTTTGCATTATAATATTGAAACGTGTTGAGGTAGACAAGGCAATGCAATGGGTATACCATTGAAATAAATTTTAAAATACTGCTTTTGTATCAACGAACAAAAAAAAAACCACCGAGCAAAATGATGTGTCACACGAATTTTAGTCATCGATAGGGAATACTCAATGTTTACTTATGACAATGTCTACGGGTTTTTTAATGCGCTTTTGGAGGCTTTCACTTTTTCAATCAATGTTTTTGTTTCGTTTAATTTACATACAGCGGCTGAAAAAAGACGTTTGCAATTCATTTCAAAGTTCAAAATTGAGTAATATATCCCTTCGAATTCGCAGCAATATATTGCCAAAGATTTTGTTTTTTTTGGCGTCTCATATGGAGCAATCACTTAGAATCATGTACAAACATGCTGAGTCTAAGCCAAAAACGGTGTTTTGTAAATGCTTGTCGATAAAGTAATGTAGTGCCCTCTTGATGTAATACCGAAATTGGTTCACCAGAAAATCCGACAAGATTTGCTTCGGGCCACTGCCTACTCTATACCAAAACGGTAATCACTTCGGCTTCAATCCGAGCCAAGATTGACGATGAACCACACATACAAAATTAGAGTTGAGTTCGAAGAAGTACAAATGGAAGACAAGAGTGAGAAACCTGTATATAAAACGGTTCTTTGGTCTTTGTTATGTGCCAGCCAGCGAACGCGCTGTTTAGAGATTCGCTTTGTGTGTTGAGCATATCGCATGCTGTATGGTTAATTTACTAGGCATTTTGTTTTCATATGGACAGTGGAGTACAGTGCGCAATTTAGGCACAAAGTTGAACGTTTGCTCTTGCACGTCAACAGCCGTGCGTACTTGTTTACATCGTCATTACGACGGTTTTCTTTTGTATTGTGTGTTGAAACTTGCACGATAACTCAATTGATGTGGATTTTGTTTTGCTATCACACACAGCTGTTTATGTATGAGCTTCTACTATCTATCGTTGCTCAGTAAAAGGTTACTGCGTTTATGACAAACAACATTGATACCCCAAACAATAATGCGTCATACACACACCGACAAATCTCTTTAAGTTTCTTGTTTTTATTTTCTTGTACCATATCAAAGCACACGAAAAAAAAAAACAAATCCACACATTAATTCTTCAGCTTTGCTTTTATTATTGCACGTACGTTATTATCGCTTGGCTTTAGCTCATTTGTGCCTCTTTTTTTCTATTCATTTTGCCCGTCGTGCCTTTAAGTATGTGTGAAAAACTAAACCGAAATAAAAATGATAAAAAAGTAGGCATAGTCACAATCGACGAAGAAGCAACTGCATGACGTATTAGGTTACAGCATTTACACGAGCAACGAAAACCACTTTTATCCCCCCAGTCTTTCGTTTCGTCGATTCGCAAATGCACGACGTGTTGAAATGTTTTGACGAGAGGCGCACTAAAACGCAACATATACGTACACCAAACGTACCGATTCATTACGATACTCGAGCACAGTCGAGTGAGCAACAGAGCAAGGGAGAGAGAGAGAGAGAGAGATAGACTATATGACAGCACAAGCAAAAATCAGGTCACCGTGTGCAAATGTATTCACATTTTGATCACAATGTATGACTGCCATACACCGAGAGAGCTCTGAGCACGATTATTGTAGTAACGGCGATTGTTGTCGAGCTGAAATGAGCTGAAATAAGGCAATAAAAGGCAATTCGAGTCTCAGTCCCACAATTCGATCAACTTTCATTTCGTTGTTGGGCTTTTTTTTCATTCTCATCTCATTCGTCTACTGTTATATACCTTTTTTGGATTTTGGTTTTTGTTTGTTTCTTCAACTCACGCGAAATTCAGGACACATTCAAATCAATGCCGTATCGCCTGCATTTTCGAGGGAATCAATTCTCATTCTTTTATTCATGAAAGTGGGCGGAAATCCGAAATGAAATCCAAAAATGAATCGATTATTTTTGGTTGTTGTTGTTTTCAAACGGAAAATTACGAACATTTCAAGTTAAAAAGAAGGTCGAAGTCACGAACGAAGAGCACATAATCCCTTCGACACAATGCTTTTAAAAATAACATCCATTCAAATGAATCAAAAAAAGTTATTTTTAACCCAATTGTACGAGTCTATGATGATTGTGTGAATGCAATCATTTGGAAGTGATTGAAAATGGTTCGATCAATTGTTAATTGAATATTTTGCAATCGCCGAAGGAAAATCAATGTACTTTGTTCACTATTTCGATTAAAGTTTCAAGAGAGCAATGGGTTTTTATCACATCATAAAGGTCATTTCAGGAAACGGCGCACGTACTCATTGCCAATGTCGTTTGTGTCCATCTATTTTGCAAAGAATGGCGTCCTTTACTTTATAATCAATAAACATTGTAAAGTTTTGCAATGTATTGTCAATGACATTGCCCAATAGAATTGTTCTGCTATAGAGACTAAACGTGTACATCCTTGATTCAAAGTGTTTGAAGGGCAAACAAAAACAACTAAACCAATTCCGCTTGGTAACAAATTTGTGTAATTTTTTTTTTGTTTGGTTGAAGTGCAGCTGTTAAAACTATCGTTTTCTTTCATCTGTGCGAATTTGACGATATTAGACAAAATTGTTGTAGGTGGATGCGATTCGCGTGCAAAATTTTATTAGTTATAATGACTCTCCTTGGCCGTTAATGGAATGATCTGCACGATTATATTCACGTTTTCAAACGTAAATTTTGAAACGAAGATATTTGTGCTTGAATTGGCATTAACAATGGAGAAAATCTACGTCGGTTGAAGGCTACATGAATTTCAATATTTGTTGCCGGTTGCTTTTTATGACGATTCTGAATATGAATGTGTGTTTGGTTTTGTTTTGTATTGATGATGAGCATTTGAATGGAACGGCAGTACCGGCGGCAAATGAACCCATGACACAGCTAATTGTTTGCTTATTACCAGTTGAACGAACTGATTTTGATCGGGAGATGTAGGCATACGCAATTCATGCGGTTTTCACAATGCAATACCACAATGCCTATTTACTCAAATGCCAATGATTTAATTGATGTCAACGTCTACTCGAGATATTGAGTCGAGCAAATGGTTTACGTATACTGGAGGCCATGACAAATGCGCTGAATCGATTCTTGATGATTTTGATTAATGCGGAACCAAATTCAAACACACCGCAACCCATTTCAACGAAACATTATTTCGCTTAACTATACCGTTACGGAATGATGAACGAAATTAGTGAGCGCTTTTTCATTGCCATGCAATTTATGATTGTTTGATGTTTTGCTGAACTTATTTTTCACACCACTGTGTCAAGATACTTGGCGGTTTTTGTTTTTTTTTTTCTGTGTTTGTCAATGAAATCTTATGTTTACTATTATATATGTTTACAAGAATTTTCGTGCAAAAATAGTGCATTTGTTAAAATGCAATCCATTAAGAGTGGTTTTGTTTTTCTATTTATTTATTTAAGAAAATTGTTGAAAATAAAACAAAATCTTATTTAATGTTGTTTATTTTTGTTTTTCTTTTGCAGAATTCTTTTCCGCACATTAAATCATCAATACGATTATACGTTCGACTGGACGATGCTTAAACAGAAATCGAATCAGGCTGGCGGAAGTTCACAAGCGGCTATTCAAGGAACACCCGACAAACGTGATGAGCGCGAGGGACGCAATGGACGCGACAAAAACGAAACGGCTCATACGACATCCGAACTAAAATAAGTTATAATTTAATGCGTTAAATTTAAATGAAACCAATACTATTAGTAATCATTGAATATGAGAAACTACACACGCAAAAAAAAAAAACAAACAAACAAAAAAGAGAAAAAATCCATACGAAGAAAAAAAAATCAACAAATCTGCACACACACACATACATAAATCACATTAAGAATCAATCTTTTTTTGAAAATAAGAATTAGGCAAAGAGAAATGAATTTGAAATTGAAATGAAAATCATAAATCATAATTACGAAGATTAAAAATAAAATTCATGTGAAACTACAAAATAAATAAACAAATAAGATACTAACGAGAACAACAACTACAATAATAATGATATAAAGGTATCAAAGCAACAACAATTACACATTATTATATTATTATGATAAGCTACAAATTTCATGATGAATAAAAGAAAAAACTCAACACACACACAAAAAAAAAATTAAATGAAGTTCATTAAGGAAAACCAAATAGGGCGCATCTATCATTAGAAAGAGAGAGAGATAGAGAAAAAAATTAAGAGAGTATAAAAACAAAACACATGAAGAAATGAATTTTACGAAGCTCGATTAATTGTGGAGCGACGAAGGAGATAAATTGATGCATCTCGGAACTATAAGAAAAATCGAAAGTAAAATTAATTACACAAATGTAATACAACCGGCGCACAGTTCATTCGCCGCGTATTAATATTAAAATAAAATACAAAAAAACGAAAAATTCACACAAAAAAAAATCAACAAAAAAAAACAAACCTTTATATATCGATGTAATGTATCTTAGCGATATATATGGATATGAAATAATATGAAATAACAACTAAAAAATTTGAATAAAAATTATATTAAAATCCACAAACAGATATAAAAACACACAGAACAAATATGCATTTGATAAATCGTGATATATGTTTTTTCATTTGTTCGAAAACAATAACAACAGCTACAACATACCTATTCTCTGATATTTTGACAAAACTCGGGGCATGACCACACGTCTTGAACTTGATGATCACATCGCCAGCACTCTTATGTCGATTGAATCATCAAGTGAGATTCGGCCCGAGTTTGATTCCAAGGGAAAGATGAGGAGAGAATGTGAGATAAAGTGACGCCATCACTTATTGGGATTCGAAAAAAAAGATCCAAATTTGACGGACACTTGATGTGGAATTATATCTCAATGTGGAGATTTAGCTTATTTTACCAATTTTCTTCTTTATATTATTCTAGACGAACTAGTTTTGATAAAACTGGATATTTTCTCATTATATATTTTTAGTCCTTAATTCTCTTTTTTTGCAACACACAATTTAGGCTTTACTCCCTTCTCATCCTGCCCACTCTCCCAAACGCCCCCCCACCTTTTCTTTAGTTAAACCATTTTCCATTTTTGGCAAAAGTGATGTAACATTTTTCCAAGAGAAAGAAAACAAATGACATAAATTGCTTTTACAAAATCATTAGCATGTAACAAAAAGTGATATACATTTTGCCCTTAACGAAAACGAACAAAAACAAATTTAGGAATGAAAAGTATAAATTGGATTGACATGTTACATGTGATCTTTCGCCCATTCAATATCAGACCCATTTCTATTTCTATGTGTGGCATTCTAAAAGAAGAAATATATCTTTTATTCTTTAAAAAAAACAACAACAACAAATTGATCAATGGATAAACAAATGAATAGAACTAAAACGTTATATATTATTACTGATCAAAACTGTAGACATTAAGAAAATAAAGAAAAACTATGTGAATTAACTAAACGATAAATTTTGCGATTTCTAATTTGGTGCTAATATTTCAGCCACAATTTGGAAGAACATTTATATTATGAGCACATAAGGTCTTTTCGTTCGTCTCTCAAAGGTTACCTGATGTGCGCATCGTTTTGAATGCATTCACCGTTTTACAACAACAGCACAATGTTGTCAGCAACGCCGTCTCGTCACACAATGGCCCCTTGAAAATTCGTACACACTTGTTTTTTTTTGACAGCTCACACAAAGTGCAGTGTTTTAACATCATCACCCACAGACGCGTCGCTTAATTTTGCAAGATAAACGCCGAATCAAAAGAATTTCCAATATTTTTCGCATTAAAAGTAACATAAAAATCATTACCATGGCTCTCGAAAGACGTGATGTTCATTGGTCGCATGGACTGATATTAGAACTTTCAAAGCCGCAAAATTGGATCGCAGAAAGTGAAAACGCCGTGGTTATTCGAGACCGTTATCCGAAGGCGATGTACCATTTCTTGGTGGTTTCCAAAGCAGATATTCTCAACATTTTCGAAGTAATTAATATCAAATCTTCTTGATCCCCGTAATGTTGTGGTAAATTATAAAATAATTTCAATTTCTAATAGTTGACAAGAGATGATTTACCGCTACTGAACGAGATGTTCGAGTTGGCATTGAATTTAATATTCAGCAAAGATCGTCGATTGGAAGAATTCAAAATTGGATATCATGCTGAACCAAGTTTATTGCAACTTCACATGCATGTCATTTCCACTGATTTCCATTCACCAACCATGAAGACAGAAAGACATTGGAACTCATTCAACACACAATTGTTCATACCGCATGAAGGTAAGATGGCAACACAATAGCTAAGAGAGTAAATTTATTTAGAAAATGTTTATTTAGAATTGATGCGTCGACTCATGGATTATGGAAGAATCTCAAAAATGGATCCACGGTTGATTGACGAACTACGAATGACACAATTGAAATGTAACCGATGCGATAGAACTGAAGAATCCATCATACATTTCAAAGAGCATCTTAAATGTCACTTGAAATGGAACTAGAGAACAGAATTGAATGTGATTTATGCCAATATCATTTTCCATTCAATATTGTAAATAGTTAATTTTTTCAGTAAGTTTGTTGTAAAAAATGTTGGCATTGAAGTATGATCATAATAAATAAAGAAGAACATTGAATTATTTAAAAAGAGTAGGCTATTTTTTTTCAAATACCAAAAACTGGCTTTTTTTCAAATGACATTCCAACATGAAGACAATCAACAGCAGCGCCACTCACATATGTTTTTGACAGTTCAACTATTGTCATCGATTTGAGTTGCCGTTGGATTTGTTGAATATTTGCTATTTTTGTCAATTAATTTTACAATTTTGCTTCTTTTTCGGTTGAATTTTCATTCCATTTGGCAAAATGGCCGGCTGGTCATTGGGATTATTGAATTCTCTAAAGGATAAAAGCCAATGGATTATTTCAAACACCGATGCCATTGTTATTTCGGACAAATTCCCAAAAGCGAAATTCCATTTTTTGGTACTTCCACGAGAAAATATCTCGAATATTTTTCAGGTGCGTCAATTTAAAGGCATTTGAAGACAATCATAAGTAGAATAACATTTAATGTGCATACAGTTGACGACAGACCATTTGCAGTTACTGAATGAGATGTATCTGCTGGCTAAAAATATCATCGAGATTAAAGGCGGAGAAGACGATGAGTTCAAGATTGGATACCATGCTGAGCCAAGTATGCAGCAAGTCCATTTACATGTGATTTCCACTGATTTCAATTCGCCGGCGCTGAAAACAAAAAAGCACTGGAACTCCTTTACAACGGAATTTTTTGTACCACACGAAGGTAGGGTCTTGAAATATTCATAGTACGCACTGAAAATTTCCTAATTTTTTTTCGGTTGCAATTCCAGAATTGATGAGACGTCTCAAAGCGGATGGTAAAGTGGCTAAACTCAGTTCCACCACAGCCAAGGAGCTCCTTGCAACGCCGTTAAAGTGTCACCGCTGTCATGCTACGCCAAAAACAATGCCAGATCTGAAGTCACATCTTTTGCAACACTTGAAATAACAATAAAACCAGCGGCGTGTCAAACATCAATTGTATTTATTTGAATTATGAAAAAATAAATTTTATACTCGATCCGAGTATGTTTTTTTATTCCATGTCTCTAAACTACAATAGTCTTAATGAAATGAATAATAAATATGTAAGACTTAAATGGCATACGTGGAATAAATGTTAAATGTTTGGAAAGTCAAACTGAAATGAAAAAAATGTTCACACTTTACAGTCTAAATTCATCAAAAACGACCTAATTATATTAAATATTGTAATTTTGTTCCTAATCCTGACACATCTTGCGAACAATTACAGTTATTTTGTGGTGGGATGCAATTTACCTAGTACCTCGTCGATCATAAAACTCAAAATATCGTCCTTACTTTGATTCTTGGATGATTTTGGACTCCTTTGAACGAAAAAAAAATATACAAAATTATTAGCACTGACTAATTTTGCGATTTGAGAACATTTGAGAATTGAAATATTTACATTGGTCCGGTAGATTTGTGTTTGATGTTGAATTTAGCTGTTACTGATTTAGATGGGGATGGCGTTGATGTGTGCAATGGTTTACCATAAATGGCTTCGGAGCTGGAAATTGTCTCATTGCCCGTTTCACATCGACTTTGTTTCGCGCTACGACGTCCCGATTCTTTGTTCATTTCAGATGCAACACTATCAATGTTCTGCGTATACAATTCGAATTCCTCACTGGCCGCCAATTTGATTCGCATGCCATCTAAATGAACATTCTTTGTTTGGATATTTAAGCACTGTTCCGTTACTTTGGGTTTGATTGATGCATTTTCGCGAATTGAAATAAAACGCTTCTTATCGTTGTCATCGATTGAAAGGCACAATTCATAACCATCTTCGTCGCCTGAATCATCGTCTTCACTCTCGTCATTATCTTCTTCATCCTTTACATTGCTGCTGTCAGCTTCGAATTTTGTACTTTCGCTGACGACTTCTGATTTTGTTTCGGCTGGCTGCGGCGGCGGTGGCGGTGGCGTTAAAGAACGTTTATTCTCTTTGGGTTGATTTACAGTTTTCGATGGTGATTTGATGGGTGTTTCAATGTCGGTACAATCACCAAATATATCACGAATTTGGCGTGATCGACGTTCTTTGGCCGGTGTCACAAATTTGTATTTAGTTGGCATTTCATCTAACGATGACACCTTTGACGGTACACCTTTTTCATCTTTCGATGATTCAGTACTTTTTGGAACAGAATTTTCCGATTTTTCCGGCACCATCGGTTTTTCATCTTTTGATTTCTCTTTAGACGAATCAGCCAGTTTCGTGTCAACATTGGCCGTGCTCGATGTAGGTATTGGCGGTGGTTTTGTAATAATATTTTGTGCAGGTCGTATCTTTGCACGAGATCGTGTTGTCCGGCCCATTGGTAAGGCGGCAATTACTTCAGTTTTCATTTTTGGTCGATTGGCATCGAATCGTTTTTGCTTTGCCGATAACATTTCGACTAAGCTTTCGGGCGAAATTTTCTTCGAATCACCAGCATTCTTCACCGGCACCACAATATCGGTCATTTCGCTGCTCTTATTTAAATGACTTGTGATTGCCTCGACACTTTCCTCATCATCCATCGGATTTGCCTGCGGTTTTTGTGTTGTGGTAACATCAGATGCATCGATGACAGCATTATCATTGGCTGCCTCAGTTATAAGTCGTTCAGTTTGTACTTTTGCTTCAGATTCAGCGACCGATGGATTAATCACAACTTGTGATTGAATTTGCTGTGAATTTCGTTGGAATTTTTTTGGTTGTGTGGTTTTTCGTTTTGATGGCGATGCCGTAGACTTGGTCGGTGGTCGTAATTGGTCGCGTTTTGCTTCTGCAATTGCTCGATACTTTTTGAATTGCTCGACATTTTTTGGTTTGCCCTTTTCGTGCTTTTTCATTTCGGCTTCTCGGAGAAGTTCTTGAGTACGGCGACGTTTTTCTTCGAGCACAATAATTCGTTCGGCTTCTTCATTTTTCACCGGTTCCTGAGGCACGCTTAACAGAATATTTTTAGCAATATTCACTTCGTTGGCGGTTGTCAAATGTGATTTTATTATTTGCGTTGAATCTTCATTGATCACTTTGGGCGATGAAACTTTCACATTCGTTTCTTCAGTCGGTTGTGTTTCTTTTTCGGATTTATTCATAATTTGAGAGCTTTCGGAGTCAGAGGAAGACGAAGAATCACTTTCTGAATCAGATTCACTGCCGGAAGATGAATTTGACGACGATGATGATGTTGAACTGTTCAGTGTATTTTGTGAATCATCGATTTTTGAGTCATCATTTATTTCATCGGCACTGTACACACCGCTATTGGTTCGATTTGAATGAACGGATGCTTGGATTTGTCTATCAATTCCATCCGATTCATCTGGTTTATAGTATGAACTACTTGACGAGTAATCAGTTGGACGATTGGCCGCTCCATAAACGATCTCTTCACTTTTTGGCGAAAAAATATCTTTGAATGGCGTGAATATTGACAGTCCCGGCGTAATTGGGAAATTTGGAGTTGGGAACAGTCCAGTTTTAAAAATTGAATCGTCCAACAAATGTGCACTCGGCCGAAGCATTCTATATAATGAAATAATTTTGGTAAAATTAACGTAAGCAATTTCATTGGTTTGAGAGATAAAAAAAAGTTTGTAATTCGAATACTTACGGTGTGACCATTTGCGGCAAAATCGTATTGAAACCTGGTGTCTTTGGTAATAGAAGTGTGCCTTCTTTGAACGGTGTTTCAAGCAATGATGATATATTCAAATAAGATGAGTTCGTTAGATTCAGAGATCTCAGTAATTCCGGATCGATTCTGTCCAGTGGAGTCGTTTCAACATTTGGCTTTGGCTTAACCACCTCAACCGTATGCGACATTGAAATGGAATCACTTTGTATTTCTGTGTTTTGTGATTTCTTTCTTTCGCTCTCCTGTTTCAAAATCACCTCTTTCATGCTGATTAGATTTTGTGCCACCTCCAAGTCGTCGGTTGTATTTTCATTTGGTTTGATGGGTTCAGGTTCCATTATGACTTCAGGTTGTGGTTCAGTCGATTTTTCGGCTTCAATTTGATTTTCGACTGGTTTTTCGATTCCACTACCACTGGCGACTGGTTTTTCAATTTCACTGCCACCGGCGACTGGTTCGATTTCATTTGATTTCTTTGTGACTTGAGTTGCTGCCAAATCTCTCTTCGATTTCAGTCGTTTCAGTGCTTTGTTCTTTGGCGATGGCATTAGTTTTATTTGCAACTTTCCGATCGGTGTCTTTTTCTTCGCTGATTTTAAAACGATGTCTTGTTTAACGGGCGTCGCTTTTTTCGCGCTTTTCAACATCTCCTCCAGCATTCGTGCTTCCAAATTGATTGATGCATTTAAATTATCCGGATCAATTGACGAATTCATCGAAAGATCAACCGAATTGATTGTTTCGTTGAGTGCTTTAGCTACTGCTGGTTTTGTATTTGTGACTGTTTTTCTCTTAACTTGTTTTCTTCGCGTTCGTTTCTTTTTGCCCGATGACAATTCAGTGGCCGTCTTCTTACTATTCTGTTCACGCAAATTTTGTTCAAATAATAATGGATTATTTCGGGCTGATTTAATCTGTTCCCATTGGAGAGCCGCGTCTTCTTTGGAAATCGGTTCAGTTTTGGTTGTTTCTTTTTTATTCGTATCGTCTTCATTGCTATCACCGTCGTCGGGACAAATCTTTTTCTTTGTTTTTGCCACACGCTTAAGACGTTTTTCATTCTCTGCTGGATTCAATTCTTTATGGGCCGATAGCGTACGTACGCAACCTTTTCGATTTGTTTTTCGCACTTTTGGAGTTTCACCATCGGCTGATATGACTGTATCTTCGTTGGTAGGCACAAATGGTTCCGGAGCATCCAAATCGATTACACTTTCGCCCGATTTTTTCTCACTTTGAGTTACCGAATTCACTTTTGGTGGCGCTGAACTTGGCAACGACGACACTATCGAACGATTGTGTGGTGTTTCCGAAAAATATTTTGATGTATTTGCAAGTAACTCATTTTTACTTTCAGGTATTCCGGCCAAATGCCGATTTGGCGTATTGAAATTTAAGACACGAACATGGCGCGGTGTCGACAAACTTTTTGATGGGTTTGGTCTTATGAGTTGCTTCGGTGTAACATTTTTTGGATCGTTGACTTGTGTAAGCGAAATGAATGACATTGCCGTTGATTTTGCTGCATCAGCATCAACTCGTTCAGCTTCTGAATTCAGTTTGGGGTCTTGCTGCTGATTTACTTCGATGGGTGGATTGCCCTCTCTATCCACTTGAGCTTTATCAACGACGACCACTCGATACCTTTCGTTGTTCACGTTCACCGTGGTGTATTCATCCACTTGATTCGATTGCATTTCATTTGAATTTGGTGTATCATCGCTGTCAAGATCAATAATTTGTGAATCAAATTGACTGGATTGTGTTGGATCGGCGATATTATTGCCGGTTGATATGGTTGCCGTTGATGTGGTGCCTGGAAATTGAATTGGAAGTGAACCAACTAACATATACTCAACGGTACCATTATCTCCTTTGATCGATAGCAAATATGGCTGTTGATAGAGCTGGTTCGATGTGGTCGATACCGTTTTTTCGTCGGAATCTGGTAAAATTGCAAATGATCCATTGCACAAGTTCTGTAGTGTATCTGTTGAAATTGGTGTATTTATCAAATTGTCCGATAAAATCTCAATTTTCCTGCTGTTTTCCGTTGTTTGTTTTAACTCAGTAGGTGTGTTTGCCGATGTATTCGATTTTCTTTGTGACCGTAATTCGTATCGGAAACTTCTGTTCGCATCTTTGGGTACAGGTGTGTTAAGTTGGCGATTTCCATCGATTTGCGGTTCGATTTGTTCATATTCCAGATCCGACGTTGGTTTTGATGTACCCGGTGACGAATGCATTGGGCCAACATCCAATATATCTCTAAGCATCTCATCCAAATCGATATTTTTACGAATTGTCTCAACAACGTTATCCGCTCTCATTTCCGAATCGGCCGCATTATTTTTAATGGCTTCATTGATGGTCATGACTATGCGATCCGGATTATTTAGTATCGAATCGGACAATTGTTGTACTACCTCTGATTGAGTCATTTGCGTAACACTGCTGCTGGTTGGATCTGAATTGGTGGCCGATTTCAAAGTGATTTCTCTTTGATCATCGTTATCACTCTCATCTATACAAATAACATCCTGTTCATTTTTATAGTTGAGTAAAAAATTTGGGTTAAGTTGAACTTTTCGACGTTTCGGCCGATAACCTGGCAAATCTTGGACGTCTGTTGCTTTCACCGAATCAGAACTGTCACTCAAATCAGTACTATATTCACTTTGATACACAATTTCAGTTGATCGTTTCCGCTTTACCGTTCTTTGACTTGGCTGTGCACTGCTAGTGCTGGGGCTACCAAATTTTCGACATGCATATAGAACTTTGTCCTTTAATGTTCGCGCTCGAAGTAATTCAATTGGTACGTCATTTGGATCATATCGATTCCATTCTTCTTCGAAAAATTCATCCACTGCAAAAAAAGAAAAATTAAATTTGATTTGAGTGACATTTCTATTTGAAAGTCATTTGAATTTAAAATGCAAAATTTAAATCATCTGAAAATAGACTGAATCTTATACGTCACATTTATTGAATCGACACAATCAACTTCTTCGAAATTCGATTTTTGTTGTCTCAGCACTCTTTCTCTCCTTTTAAATTTAGCATATCATATTTCGTTTGTGATTTCATGTATAAAGTTTGGCGATAAACATGAATGTAAATAAAAAAAAATTCAAATAATTCCAAGCATTGCACAATGGAAATTTCCCTCGTAAAACAATCAAAAATCACGCCTTCATTTGTGGCGCCAATATTTGACAATTTGACACCTACTTTGTTTTATCCGCTTCACATTTACAAACAATAAAATAATGCATTTTAAATTCACTTTTTTGTCACTGTTCAATTGTGCATACATACCAATCTCTCGAATTTCAGTGAATTCTCTGATGATGTCTAACAGCGATCTGGTTTTGTCAGGATTTATTATTTTCACATGTGTGTCTTTGACATATGCATAGTCCTCAATGGTAAGATAAGGACTTGATTTACAAAGTTCTTTGGCCGCCTTCGTAAAACCCTGACTGCCCAAATAGCCTGAAATATAAAAAACAATATGAATTTTAAATGCCATTTTGCATCAGAACATTCAATCAAAGCATCAAGCTTTCAAGCATTCGATGCAGTCGATCTCTCTACCTTTGTATATCTCTGTGTGTGCTATGATTTTGTAAAAATCTTTTTTACGCATTTGTTTTCGGTAAAAAAAATGGACATTTACTCACCCAGAACAAGTCTGTTAATTTGAGCTGGACACATAGACTTTATTAAAGACATGCTTGTGTTTTCTTTCACTTTTTTACTGTGATTGGGTCGCATATTTTCTTTTTTCAAACAATAATTCGACAAAAAATGTCACTGTCGATTTAAAATAAACGTTTGTTCAATAGTTTAGACCAAATATTTTACCGTGAACTATAAAAAGTGTACATTTTGTCGTAATTTCGATGGGAAATTGTGCAAAAATTGAGCAAAAAACAAAAATGACATTTACACTTCACAACAGAAACAGTTTAGTTAATACTCTCTTTCGTTTCTCTCTTATGACGGTTCTATACACATCTGCATGCTGTTGTTTCACACAAGCATCAATGTATCTTTATGTTTACCGCCAAATTTCAATACATCGCTTTTTTTATGTTGCAAAGCTAAACAATTCAACGCATTTTATGCGAGTGTATTTGTGTGAATTGTCAAAATTCGACGACTTGTACAATCAAAATACGATAGTTTCACAATGTTTCAAATGTACCGAAACCAACTTCATGGCAATTGAATAGATATCTCTAGATCTCTACGTCTCTGTGTGTATGCGTATGTCTTTTCGTTTCTGTTTCATGTGCTGTAAATGCGTCTCAATATGTGTATGTGAATCTAAATGTCTCCCATCAAGCGCAAACCATAATAAAGTGCACACAACATCATCGTCATTCGTACGACAAAACACAAATCCACAACACAAAAGCAATACGAAACGAATGAACGACTCGGAAAGTCATTGAGTAGAGTGAGCGAAGGAAATATTATTGTGAAAAGTTTGTTATATATATTCACAATTCGCATTATTCAATCGTGAGTTGATGTCGAACGGTGCGGTTTCCATATTTTTTTCTTCTCAACGTCTCTTCGCAAAATTTTTTTTGGGGTCTACGTGAATACAACGCTCTTAATCGCAGTTGCAGAGAAAAAAAAAACGCATTAAGTGTTGCAATTTTAATTTTGCTGCAAAACGATTTTCAATTGTTTGGGCATATATTTTTTTTTTTATTGTGGACACGTGAAATCGTGATTGTTTTTTCTGTGCTAAATGCTATTCAATTTGTGAAATAGACAAATAAACGAACAGAGAATAAAAAAGAATAACATAAAATGTTCCGTGAAATTTGAAAACATACAGACATAATATAAAATAGATCACACATAACAACATTAAATTGATTCTTGATTGATGTACTCTGTATTGGATAGTGTTTTCATTTGCCATTTACGAAACATTGAGCTAAGTTAATGGCAATTCGTCGATAGTTCAAAAAGGTGATTGAAATGCAAACACGACTATTATCGTTTTTGTTTCATTGATTGAATTTTTGAGTTGTGTGCTGTGTGTGTACGTGTATTATATATATGTGCGATTTTCGGTCGTTCTGTTGGCATGTTGACTATCCGTATTTGACGTGAGCTATTTTTGATGGTCTCTCATGATGCCGAATCAAGTTTGTGTGAACAACGTTAAACATTTGCATATTTAATATATTCTCTAAATTCAGAATGAATGGCTCGGTCGATTTGCTGAATTGTAAAATGTGAAAAGTGTGCATAAACCCATTATACAGTACAAATAGTAGCGGAATTCTGTAATGCAATAAGTGATTTTGTGGAATTGAAATGACAGCATTGTCACATTGACTCGATTAATCTTCATACATATTCAAAACAAATGGAATTCATGTTATTCAACGAATGAAAAGAAAGAGAGCGAGAGAGGAAGAGATCACGAGAAAGATAACTGTTGTCAACGTTTTCCATTTCCATAGACGTGTCGGTACCAAAAACAATAAACCATTTAAAATTGTTGAGCGTTTAAATTGAGTGCGCAATTTCGAAAACGTAATTGTTCCATCATAACAATAATACATTTAGAAAACAAAAAAACCTCTCTGAAAATCACGTTGATAAAAAAAAACAACGGGAGATAGAGAGAGATGGATAAAACAACGTGATCCAATAGAAAACAAAGCGCATAAAACCATACAATTAAAACTGTACCAGTGAAAGCGATAGTTTTGATCAAACAAAACGAGACAATAATTCAGTGTGCAAAACGACGCGTGTAACGAGGAGGGAAGTGCGAAAAAGAAAGCCAACCATATCACCGGAAAAATAATTTTCCATGTAAGACTATTGTCATACCAACGTACACAGCTGTTTCTTTTTTCTTCTTCTTCTTCTTCTTCTTCTTTGGTTGGGCTTTGATCTGAATCAGTATTATATACATTCATTGCAATCAACTTTGGCCATTCGTCATTTTCACAACCATGAATCAGTTTTGGTTTGTGTGTCAGCATATCTCATAAAATAATTCAAAAATAGTGCATAACATTTTGGTGAATTAACAACAACAGCAACAATAAAAAAGGTACGGTGCTCAATAGCAGCAATAATCGAAAGAGGCCGTCAGATAATTTACAAGCAAATTCCTACGCATTTACAAATCAAACACTTTGCTTGCGATTTGTTTATTCACTTTATTCTAAAAATATTTGCACAAAATATCGTCAAACAAAAACCGAACAACAGAAAACAACAACAAAATTACGAGAGCTAAAGTATTTCTCTCATAATTAATGTGAACGTGTATGTGTGTTTGTGTGATAAAAAAAATATCAGTAGAAATAACAGTCGGTAAATATTAGTGGATAAAAGACAGAAATAGCAAGCAACATCTATCCGATCAAGAATTTATATTGTGAATTTGTTTTTATTTTCCTTCAAAACATCGACCACCATCACGTCCGCACGCAGATTTTTGTGTTTACTTTACCGTATGTGTGTGTGTTCAGTTTTTCACGAGATACCAAAGCAGAAGCAAAACAATTTGTTGTAGCCGTTTTCGAGAGACTTCAAGTTACACAAAAGGTAATTGTTGCCATCATTTTATCTAGGCGTTGTTGTCTTTTATTCTTTTTCGTTTTTTATTTTATTTTGAATATCTTTTGCAATCTTTCGACAAAACCATGTAAGAGATGTTTAGATACGTACGTATACGTGCATTGCGTCTCTAAATGAGCTTTGATTGGAATAAAAGTGCTTGGCATCATTAATGCCGTTAAGTGCACTGAAACGGTTTAGGCCAGAGCAGTAAAAAAAAGCGTGTGAATCACTTGCGCGCAATCTCTCGCTCCATTTGATTGTGATTTTTCTGCATCTTCTGTGTTTATTATGTTTCTATCTGCGTAGCTTATAGGCCATATATATTTGCAAAATGCACAGAAAGTAATTGCAGTCGCACTACCCACGATGAATCTCATTTCCAAAGTGGATTTGAAAGCAAATTCACCTCGATTTAATTGAAATAGATATAAATATAGTTCTTCTAGTTAAGTAACGGCTCATGGATTCAATAAAATGCTCTCGAGTGTTTGTGTGTGTGTGTGCGCACGAGACAAATATGGCAAAAATCCACTTTTTGTCTTCGCACACTCGCCATTAATTACATTTTAGAGTGTTGTATCAATTGTGTCAATTTGTTGGCTCCATTTTATTCGCTCGCTTTTTGTCGTTCATTTCAAATGAATTTCTCATACATTTTTATGTCAACGAAATGATTACATAAACAAGAAGCGCATTTGAATCTCATATTTTCTTTTCAAAATTGAAGTAAACTTCAAATGTGTTGTGCTTGCATTGTGCTACATTCATTTCTCGCTAACCGTCGGCTACGATTGTCTTCTCAGCACTCACAAAAAATACAGTAAGAGAAATAGAAACGAAAAAAAAAATCAGTGAACACTGAAATATTGACTCAAATTAGAAGCGGCGCGAGATTTTAATTGCATGAGGCTGTTTATTGCGCTGCACTTTGGCGGCTGTTTTATCGCGTTCTCGCGATTAAAAATCAAAAGACCGAATGTACAAAGACAGACAAAGATTGAGAATAAAGTAACATTTTTTTGTTTACGAAAAAAATGCAAAAATCCGTCGTTTGCGATATATAAATGGCGAGGCGTGAGAAGAAACCAGGTGAATGCACTAAAAGTCAGTCGACATGTTCTGACATGAAAGCCACAGAAAACAGATAGAATATAGCAACAGGAAAAAAAAACATACATTCTATACAATTGCGCGCCCAAGCACTCGACTTGTCTGACGTCATGTTTTTTTTCTCTACCTCCCGCTCTTGCTTCTTTTTTTTGTTTCTCTGCCTGTGTGCACACAGAGAATTTCAGAAATAAGAGAAGAACAAAAAAGAAGGCAATGCATTGCGCGCCATGAAAATATTTACATTTGCAATTCCATTCTCGCCGTCGCCGCCGAGCCCAAGTGTGTGCGTTGTGGCCACTCAACGCCAGTATAACATTGCGATAGATGCATTCGCACATGTGAAAAGCGGCAATTTATTATTTCTGTATATACATTTTTATTACTATTTATTATATTGTTGTGGAGCTTTTGTTTTTCGAACATACTTTTGTGTGTCTTCGTCGGAAATTTCGTAGTGCATCCATCTCATTCTCTTTCATCAACGAATGAAATACTCTGTCTCCGGTGTGTGTGTGTTAGCTATTCGACAATTGTCGAATGGTTGCATTTCTTATACGATTCATATCGCTTGGAATTTTTTTTATTCACCGTGTATATTCTTGAAAGTGATGCTACATGCTGTGAATGTGTAGTAACTGACAAAGCGAAAAAAGCTAAAAAAAAAACAGCAAAGAAGAGAGCATAATCATTCAACATCATCGTCGTCATCATCATAGTCATGTTGCTTTGTTATTTCTTTTGATTACAATCATTAAATAGAGGAGAAGAAAAAGCGTTGGAAGATATGTATTTCTTTTTTATTTTTCATTTTGAAAAATTGTGCAAAAGACAACAACGACGACAACAACAACTCATACACAATCACATTCAAAGAACACGTTTGAACACTCGTGTGCAAGCGAGATTCCGATTTGAGAGGCAGATGTGTATCGAATCGCGCGTTCTTCTCCTCTTTGCACATCGTCATCATCGTCGTTCGCATCTCTTTCTCTTCCATTTTTCTTTTTCGTGGCAAATGGTCATTGCATGAATGTAACATTATAAAACCGTATGGAAACGAGAAAACAAGCGGAGCAGATTGTGGTATTCAAGATGTTCTTTGTTTTTTTGATGCTGATGTTGTTGTTGTTGGCGGTGGTTTGGTTGGTTTTTTTATTTTGTTTCTTTTCAAATTGAATGTACGCGAACTGTGTTGTGTTATGCGCGTGCGCGCAACATGTATTTAAGCCACACTCGTTCACATATTTGAATGGAATTCAGAAAACGTGCGCGCATGGCCTTCACAAGGTAATTCACTGGTTGGTTTACTTGATGCTCTCTCTATCTCTGGTGGCTTTATATTGTTGCTTTCGCTCGTTTTCAAATTCAAACATCTATTCGAACATCGCTTCTGACACCTGAATATTTTTTGCCTGCTTGACCGCACATTTTATTGCTCATTTTTTTATATTGTTGCTGTATATCCAAAAATGCAGGTGATACTTTTCTTGCTCTCTCTCTCTCTCTCTCTCTCTCTCTCTCTCTCTCTTTGTGTGTTCAAACATAATTATAAAGTCCATGTAAATAATTATGAAATGCTAACACACGCGAATGGCCATGTTCCATTCATGCATAATTTTGTTCTTGCGTGCAAATGAATGTTGACCGATTTCAAGCTGCAACATGATAAACGGTGTTGTGGTTGTTTCTGTGTCTGTCTTCTCTATCATAAATATGGTTGAGCTTTTTGAGGCCCCCCCATTCCAAACACAATTTCCATATAGACAGTTCATAATTATCGAGATTTAATATGCGCTATGTGGCAAGAATTGATATTTTGTTTGAAGTCAGACCAACTAAGACAGATGCCTTTTCAAGCTCGTATTTAAATTAGCATCTGGTTACCACCATATATCAGCGTATGGTCATTCATCGTGAGATTTCGTGGAGTTTTTTTCACTCTATAGCCATAAATATTTCGAATTCGTTTATGTTGTTTCTTTTGTTTTCTATTGAAATCGATGGCAAAACAAGAATACATTGACAAAGAGTAATGATCTGCATCGGAGCACACGGCATAGATGAGGAAAGGCTGTAGCGAAGAAAAAAAAAATAAAATAAATAAAAGCAAATATTAATGTGATTTTCTCTGTTGTATGTGCGCGAGCAAACAAACAAATGCCAGAGTGTTTGGTTACAATTTCCTTTTCGAAATCTTCACTTTGCACCGCTTTGCACTCTTCAATAAAATTGATTATGAACACTAGCTTTGCTGTTGGTGCTCTTGCGAAGCCAAACAAATAAATGATTTCTGCATTGGAAAATGAAGTGAAAATGCAGTCGGCCGCATAAATATTTCCCTTAATTTTTCATTTCTAATGAGTTTAATGTTACCTAATAATCACTGGACGTGTATAATAAGCACATACCGTGGGATAAATGCTTGTAGTCAATGAACCAAATGAAGTACAATGTAACCGCAATCTCATTACAATCGAATCAGTGTAAAATGGATTTCGCATCGTCATTACGCGATTAACTCGCTAGAATAAATGGGGCGAAAAGCGTGATAGTTTCCATGATTCGATTTTCCAATTTGGCGATATTTAATGAAAAAATGTCGAAAAATCGATTTCGATTTATGCCCGCAGAAGCAATTGCGGCTCAGTAATAAATGACCAACGTAAAATAGAGTACGATATTAATTTTGAAAATGGACTGATTTCAATCGGAATTTATGTGTTGAATGGGTACATTAACCGAATACCTCGGTGATTCGCAAAATTAAAAGCCATTATTATACGCACAATTCTTTTTTCCACTTTTTCGACTCTTTTCTCTCTCTGTGTGTCTCTCTTTTATTTCTCTATTTTCCACATTCTCTCTTCTCTCTTGTCTACTTTTTTTCAATTATCATCACATCATTAATGCGCCATTTCTCACAACATTATTCCATCTGTGTTCATGTTTATATTTATTTTTGGTATACATTTGCAAACATTCAATAAATTTTTGTATTAAAATAGTCAGACTTCCGGTGATTGTTAGTTGGATTCGAAGTTGGTTGATCGTCTCAACAACTTTAAATGCAAATGTGCTTTTAGTGGACGGCACAAATTAATTCTTTTTTTTTCATTTTTATTCAATCCCAGAGCAGAGAAATTCCACAAATCACAGTCGATTTTATTTTGTCGGTCTTTCGTCCGACCGTTAATGCCGTATCGAGTGTTGAGTCATTCGCTTTATGGCTACTCATAATGTGCATGAAATATTTTCATTGTGTCTACATTTGGCTTGGTCACTTTTATTATCGCCTTTACCAATTTATTTTTAATACACATCGATTAGATAACCGATCGTCGCTTATTGACTCTTTTTTTCGTTTCTCTTGTTATACACGAACGACAGCTGTCGACGTGTTTATTCCGACAATTTTCTAGATGAGAAACGCATTAATTACATTGAGTTGGCATAACAATCATTAGTGTAATATTTATTCAAAGTCAGTTTGGTTAGTTTATTCACCATGATTTCCCCGTTCGAACTGCCAACTTTCTTCTTGACCGATGTCTTCTTCGCACATAATTGCTTCTATATTTTTTCAAGCATATTTTCACGACACAACCAAATGAACCGAATGGTTTACCAACCGTAATGAGCACCGAGAATGATGAAAAAGAAAAAAGTAAGCAACATAAATTGGTGCGCTACAAAAATTGCGCCATCATTGGAGCATCGCGAAAAGTCTAATGCGCTTACTTGTGACACTCTTTCTCTCTGTTTCAAGTTTTTGGACAAAATCCACAACAATTTCGGATTTTCACTTTAAAATTGCTTAAGATTGTTTTCGTCAACCGAGAAAAAACAGAAGAGCTTAGTTTTTTCGGTGACTCTCTAAAAGTCAACGTAATTGAAGTTTCATTTTTGTGCGCTCTTTCACTCGATGCAAATCAACCACAGATTGAGTGGTGTCGAATGTGCACACATGCAAAAAAAAAACGCTGAAGACAACTAAATTGACTATGAATCTTTGGTGCGGCGATAAAACTGTCTGAAGTTGCGCACTCAGCTATTGTGTATGCTTGGGTGTTGCAATCATTTTACTACTTCAACCTCAATCGATCTCATCGATTTTAATTGCGTTTTTTTCGCTTGTTTTGCTTTTCTTTTCATGCCGAATCAACCGATTTGACCTCGCAATTGAAAGTAAAACCAATGTATACAATGTATGAACCGCACAAAGAAAGAGCGAATGCAAAAAAAAAACAACAAACGAGAGAAATCGAACAAATATCATCAAGCGGAATGAACTGAGAGAGAGAATGATGATATCAACCGATTTCGATGAATGATTCGGCGCACAATTTTGATTTGTCCTGTGCGTATTTTTTCTATTTTTAATTTCTGCCGAATTCATCATTCATAATCACATCCAATTACCCGAAACAAATTGTGAACTGAAGGGTTTTTTTCTCTACACATTCAACGTCTTATTTATCATTGTTATGAAAAAAAAAAAAGTTTATCTCATAATCGAAACTTTAACTTCGCATGTGGTCTTATGAATCAAAACCCAGCACGACAGCGCACTTACATGAACAACAGTGTGAAAATTGCGCTGAATTAGAGTGATTCAAGATACAAATTGGTGTTAGATATTATGCACTCAAGTTTGTGATTAATCTACATCAAACTGTGAATGATGTAACCTTTATACATCAAGTGGCGGAACATTTGCCTACACATAAACACAACAAAAGACTCTTACTTTCTTTTGTGCATAATTCAATTGTGTACAAACTACTTTGTAATTCATTGAATTGACCGCAAAAAATTAATTATTTCTTCTTTCACTTTCAGAAACCGCATTGGAGGTGAAAATCAATTTCTTTTTCGGATGAAACGAAACGCGATCCGCAAACATGCCGAAGGATTATGATTATTTGTTGAAAGTGTTGTTGGTGGGCGACAGTGATGTTGGTAAACATGAAATTATGGCCGGACTGGAAGACGCTTCATCAGAGAGCCCATTTTGTAGTCGCAGTGGAAATTGTGAGTAATGATCACATCACAAAAAGATTAATTCGATTTTGAAATGTTAAGCGCTGAATTAACTTATACTTTTAAAGTGTGAACAAAAAGCGTGCATATTTTAAGTACATCCAAAAATGGTTTGTTTGTCTGGGGATTTAACTTTATTTTCGATATTCATTTCAGCATACAAAATCACAACAATTCTGCTGGATGGTAAAAGAGTGCGACTGTGCATCTGGGATACGTCAGGTAAAAAAAATTACTCTTGAACTTATTCTTAAAAAAAAGAAACCCATGTCATGGTTTTGTGTTTGTTTAGGTCAAGGAAGATTTTGTACAATAATTCGATCATATTCGCGTGGTGCACAAGGTGTCATACTGGTCTATGACATAACAAATAAATGGAGTTTCGATGGCATCGATCGATGGCTAAAAGAAGTTGAAGAGGTTAGTGTTTTCGATCAAATTTTAGCACGACATGTAGTGTGCGAAGGGAAGGGAAGGGCATTTATTATTGGCATCCGAAAAGAATCAATTTACGTTAGAAAACAGTTAAATTTCAACATTTTAAGTGAAAACTGGGTACATTCTGCTCATCTTTCGAAATCATCGCACAATACTAATTGTTTTAATTTGCATTGATTTTAATCGAATATTTTATATTTGAAGCACGCGCCTGGAGTGCCGAAGGTTTTGGTTGGAAACCGATTGCATTTAGCTTTCAAGCGCCAAGTGGCGGCCAAACAAGCTGAACTATATGCATCACGGAATAAAATGGCATGTTTTGAAATATCACCGTTATGTGACTTCAATATTAGAGAATCATTTTGTGAACTTGCCCGAATGGCATTACATCGAAATGGAATGGAACGCATATGGCGATCGAATAAAGGTAATTAAAAAAAAGCAATCAAACATTTTCTGCATTTTCTGCATCTAATGAAGACACTTAATTGTAATAAATAAATCTCTTTATTTACAGTTCTTTCACTGCAAGAGTTATGCTGTCGAGCGATCGTTCGTCGAACTTCAGTGTATGCAATCGATCAGCTGCCATTGCCACCGTCAGTAAAATCCAATCTAAAATCATATGCGCTTACATCATCCCAATGCATAAACATCATGAACAACACAAAAAAGAATGGCAGATGCAAATCCGGCGTACTTACAAACACATTACCAAGTAGTACAAGGAACAGTTGCAGCATTTCGTGAAGACATTTGCACAGCAGCTTCCTCTTGACTACGTTTTATTCACAGATGAACATGATTTGAAGAAAATCCCACATAATTTATTTCACACGCGCAATAATATTTGCGAGATAAACCTTCCTTTCATCCATATTAATTAATAATTTTCCATTTGAATATAAATTAATATAACATTTAAGCCATTGTGAATTGTATATGGTAGACTTTGTGTGATCTAAACAGTTGGATATTTAGTCCAATAATTGAATTGAAATATGGAATTTTATATAAAAAAAACTCGAGGCGATAAACACAAGGAACCAAACAGAAACAAACATGAAAAAATAAAAAAATTGACCAAGTTCCCAATCTTACCATACACATGTTTATGTCGTATATCATTTACTTCGATAGCAATTGATCATTTAAAAAAAAATTAAGACCCATCTTGAGATAAATGTGAATGTTATTTTATTTAGATCATCGATCACCTTTTTCGTAATAACCTCAAATAGAATCTGACGCTAAATGTCTAGGAAAATAGCACATCATCACCCCAGTAGCAAAAGATATAAACAAAGTTGATGTTTTAGTTGTGATTTTGATTTTGGTTTGGCAAAAAAAGGAAACAGTCCCGAATACTTTGCGAGAAACATTCATCTAGATTTTTATTATTTATATTACAAAATCATTAGTCTCTAAATGCAGTGATTTGTTTAGGCCCGATTGTATGTTCAATCTTTCGTTTAGAAATTTGGTTCACTTGAAAAGTTATTGTTTTATTTTTTCCATCTGAATTATTGGCTGTTAAGCGATTTTATGTTATAACATTTCATTTTGTACAGAATGCAATTTGTTTTAGTTTCTTTTTAGGACGATTAAGGAGATTAATTAAGAGTTATTTGAAATGAGAGACCAACGGTGCATACAGGTTGATTAATTTAACCTCATTTTGTACTTTCGGTTTCACGAAAAATTCGTTTGTTTTATTTTATCGAGGGAATGAAAATGAAACAGAAAAATCACAAGGCTTCTAAAAAAGAGTTGTGTGTAATCTATACATGCACTTCGTACTTGATGGGTGTGTGTGAAAAAATGTAATATTTATTTTAATTACAAAAAGAAAAAGGAAACATTTTTACAAAGAGTTGAATAAACTGATGATACAAATAAAAGCAATAAGTGTCAGCGTTTTTTTTTAAATTTCTCATTCCTTTAAAAGGTACCTGGAGGATTTGCCAGAGTAATGAAACGACAACAACAATAACACGCATTTTTTGTTGACAAAGTTTCTACTCTAGATCGCCACGACATTGGTGTTTGTAGTTTGAACAACATCATCTGGTAGGTTTGCGAAAGTACGTACAAAAAGAATGCGTAAAACCATCAATGTACATTATAATATTCTATAGAATATTTTCTCCAAGTCCATCCTAATGTACCCGACATACTTTCAAACAACCACCACCAGTGTCATGACAATCTAACTCGTCAGTATGGGTTTCATAATTCTGGGATTTACGGTAAAAAATTAAACAATTCAAATGAATATATAAACGAAGTTGTATTCGTATTCGTTCTATACGAACATTGATTTTTTATACGAACGAAAATAGTCATTTTGACAGCATATTTATTGACATGAAACGCTTGGAATTATGAATACAACAAAATATATTTTGGTATTTCAAACAAGTAGTATTTTAGTGTTGTCAAATAAACTATTTTTACTAGTTTTCTCTGCCGAAAAAACGCTAAAATTTCATTTTTTCAATTGAACAATGATATTAAGTACACATTACATTTCGAGTTTGTTGAAGGATTTGTCGCAAATTAGGCGAAAGAAATAATTTAATAATTTTTGACTTGACGTGGAAAAATATTTAGATATCATGTCAAGAACATATATAGTTTGTCGATACACACAAACACCAAAAGTGTCTAGCACTTCTTGCTCTTCAAATACGAAACAAGTATGTTTATGTTTTAATTTTTTGTCAAATATGTGATTATTTTTATTAAGAAAATTGATTGATTTTAGCCCAAATCTAACTCAGCTGTCTCAACCGTCTCAACCGCATCCAGTTCGGTGGCGACAAATTCGAGTAATTGTATCCAAGTTGATTTACCGCAATCATCATTTGAAAAGGAGAATTTTGGTGTGGCATCTGAAGAAGTCGTTAAAAACACTTCTGATGAAACGGGACAGTCCACAAATATCCCGGATTTGAATTCATCATATATGAAAAATGTAGGTTTGAATCTCGCTTTCTAACGCATCCACATAATGTAGAATTATTATAATCATTAACGACTTTAGGACGAAATGAGAAAAACTGAATTAATCCATTTATCGATGATACGGATACACGAAGAATACGATCGAAAAGTAGAAGAGTTACGCTCCGAAAGAGAAAGAAGATTGAACATATTGAAGGAGGAGCTGAAAAATGTCACTTTTCAAAAAAACGTTTTAAATTTGGAACTGGATTTTTGTTAAAATAAAAAGTAAATTCATCAGGGACATAATCTTTTTTAGGGAGATTCCAGCCAAATATTAAATAAACTACATCTGAAGTCATGTATTCTTTCCTTCTTTCTTTGTTTGTTGAAAAATGAAATAAGAGTGAAAATGAAACGAAAACATTGGTCGAAATGAAACGAACTGATATAGTATGGACAGTATGGTGAACCAACTTCATACTGGTCGAATGTCGTTGTAACGAATACAATCAAGACCAACTGTTGTGTGTGCGATGTGCGAATATACAAATAAATTCTTATTTGCGCAATTTAACCGAAACACATAAGGGAAACACAGACAGTCACTTCGCGAACCGATCACTTTAAGTTTTTCTCTGAAAGTGTAAACTCTGATTGAAACTACAGAATAAAGAGAATTGGCAAAAAACAACGGAAACTCGTTCTTTAGCCGCTCCGATTCGGATCTATATTTTTTTTTTGTTTTTAAGTTTCGTTTTCATTTTCGTTTCACATAAACAACACACCGTATTCGTATATTCTTTTATTGTTATCCAAACATTTTTATTCGTCGATTTTTAAAATTGTTGTCGTCTGTAACAGTGATTTGTAATCGTTTTTATTAAATTGTAATGGCTTATTATGGGGTGTTTATACCGAGTGAGAAGAAAAACGCTTTCATCGAAGAAGGTAGGTGTACATATGATAAGAAAAACAGTTTTTATTCGTGGCTTTATTTGAACAATGATGCAAAATAACTGAAAACAATTGGCAAAGAAACGAGCAACAAATTTATCAGTTTTTAAATTGGTTTTTGTAGCGTCGATGTTGATTGTGTTTATTTGGTGTGTGACGTGATTGAAATGGTGTGTTTTTGATTATCGCACACCTCATACGACTGTTTTTAGACCTTTGTCTACATATATTCTATATTTGTCACCGATGATGTTTGACTACTGCGATCCAATTGTATTGTCGTACACTTTGTTTAGTCGACATTCTAAACAAAAATAAATACATTCGAATGGAACGATTAATGTCTGTTTTGTCGATTTTATAGACATTCTTTACCGCTAATGTATTGGCCGCTTGGATGTGAAAGTGAATCTTTGTATGCGTCGCAAAATTTGCAACAATTATACTGGAATTGTAAAAGTAAATATTCACTGGTTGTTTTTTTTTTTAATTATACAGATGCCCAACTGGTTTTTAGCGATAAAATTGAGGCATTTAAGATGCTGAAAAAGGTCCGCGAATCACGAGTTAAATCATTTAAAACATTTGAAGAAGCTCAACGATTCTCAAAATGCGGCCTCGAAAGTCCCACAGAAACCGAAACACCGATTATCATAAACGCTGAAGTAAATGGTATTCCGACCAACGGTAATATGAATAACAATGTTAACTGTGATAAGAATTCGGCAAAAGGTAATTTAACACTCAATTTTATTTCAAATACCGAAACTGAATACAAGAAAGTGCAGCACTTGCAGCGCTCATTTGAAAATTCAAATAATGAAAATCCGTACCGTTTTACAAATATTTTCTCTAAATTCACAGCGTCTCCTGTGGGTGAAAAGCCATCATCGTTCCGTGGACCAACGAGCCAAGAGTTAGTAAAATTCCGTAAAATGATTGAACAAGGTGACAGAGACTCGGTACAAAATCTCATTAGATCGAATCCACGGTATGAGTCTTTTTTTCTAAACCATTGACCACTGTTTTCGTTCGAGTAATCACCATATTTTATTTCTTTTGATAGATATTTGGTTAGTTCAGGCGACACACCGACGATATTAAAAGAAAGTTTTCGATATAATGCTCTCCATCAGTCGGCTATATCGAAAAATGCCGTGATTGCTTCACTAATTTTGGAAACAGTCGGCGATCCAGAGTTCATAAAATTGCTCTATGGAAAAGATGACGATCGTACAGCCGAACATGTTTCGAATATTCTATTGGATTTGTATCTAAATACGCCTGAAAAAGGTCGAAGTGAAACGCCGCTACATTTGGCAGCCAAATTTGGTGCTGTTGATGTCGTCGAAGTACTCAAATCGTATCGAGAATGTGAATCGAAAAAGAATGCCGAAGGTTTTCTTCCGAAAGATGTAAGTTCATTTTTTTTATTCAAAAATCTTATCGAAAAATCAAATATGCACTTTGAAACTTGACAAAGTCAACTATGATTGCACCGATAAAAAGGTCAACATGAGCATTGTGTTGAAGCAAAAACAGTATCTTTTATGTGTTCCAAAACTGATTTCAGATTATATGCTCGAGAGCTAGTTCAGTAGATCCTGAAGTGTTCAAAGCCATTAAAACATTGCTTGAAGGTCAATTTTATGTGCCCGTCATGCGATCGTTTGATAATTCAATGCCGCCTGTTATCGGAGAGCCTTTCATGGAAACACATCTTCCAAACGTAAGATCAGTTTAAAATGATACCTTTTATGACATCTGTAAATGGTTTTTATTTTTATTCTACCAGGTTCCGGCCGAAGATTTACTCAGTCCAAAGATGGAAATTCGGGCCTTGGCTGGCCCGATGAACAAAGAACAGGCTGAGGTGATTTTATACAATGACCAATTGATATGAATAGTACAATAATTTCTGAATGTGTTCAATCCTTTACAGACGTTCCGTAAGCGTTGGAAAACGCCTCCACGTAGCTTAGGTTCGCCAGCCTCATATCTTAAATCTCCTGTAAATGAGCACAGCCCAATGAATGGATCTCCATTATCGTCCTATCCAAATTCGATTGTCCGTCAACGCAGTACACCCAATAAAACACCACAAAAAGATGCGACACCAACAAAATCCATTGAGAAAACATCACGTCGTCTATTTGATACGAGTTTAAATGAAGACGAACCAACTGTTGGTCAATCGACAAAAAAGACTTTATTCAAAAACTATCGCAGCCAATCACACGATGACAGTTTGAATGATACAATGATCATGACGCCAACGTTGCATTCATTGAGTGATTTTTCATTCAACGAACATCAATGTAAATCGCCTGGTTTTCGAGAGCGTCATCTCAAATTGGCTGACGTTGATAAGGGTTTGGAGGTGATAGGACGAGGTTTGGCCAAAGAAATTCGAATTACATGGCGTGAGCATTGGTCATTCTTAGACGAATTTATTGACATCAGCAGTGAGGACGGTCTTGCCAAATTCGAAAAATATCTACAAGATCGTTTGGATGATCGAATGAAACCGCCACCATCAATGTCGATCCATCAACGAAAGTTACAATTGACACCATTGCCCGTTACACCAATATCAAAGATTTCGCAAAAATTGAATAAATTGCGCATCGAACGAGATCAAGACGAAAGTTTCAATGGTGTACGTCCATCGCCACCATCCAGTCCAAGTGCATTTCATGCGTATTTGTGTGTTGAAAAATCATGTCAAATTTATGCAAATCGTTTGCTAAAACCAATCTCACAGAATCCAACCAATATTGTCACGGTTAATGACGTACTCGTCGGCGAATTGGCCCGATTGAAATCGTTAATATGCAGTTATAAACATGACATTCGCTTTTTCGGTGTTGACTTTCAATCCACACATTCACGTTTTGCTCACATCTTCACCGCGCTACTAAACAAAGACGACGAATGCCAAAAACACAAAGTAAGCGAAGCTCTTCACAGCACACTCGATCACATACTACAAGCAAAGGAAAAGTCAGCGAACAATACAAGCAAAAATGGAATCAGTCAAGATGAGCATGCCAAACAGATGACACAACTGATTTGCTTAATTAAACAACTTTTGAGACGTTTGAACGACTCGTCCAATATAATTCCCTTAGAAGTACTCACCTCAGAAAGTGATTGCGTCGATATTTGGCATGCCGAACAAAAATGCGAATGCGAATGGACCAATTCACCAAATAATAAATTGAATCGAAGCATCAAAAGAAAACACCGACTCAGCGAAATATTTAGCGATTTTTGTGATAAATTCAATATCAAATCGGACGAAATGGAAATTGACGATGAAGAAGGCGACGACACATTTTGGGTAAGATCTTACTTATTGCGTTTTAAAGGGATTTTTATAATGATGTTTTGGGGTATTTTACAGTCACTGAACAATTCTGACGAGGATAGTAACTCGGACGATGATGAATATTTTACTCCACCACAATCACCACTTTTAGAATTCTTTGACGACAGCGATCCGAAAATACTTTATGATAATTTCATTTTTGGGTAAGTTTGGCGTGAATTTCGTGATATTTGGTTTTTGGAATTGTTTTTTAATCGAATTTGATGAAATTGCAGTCAGGAACCAACAAAAATGGATAACGACGTTCTGAAAGCCTTGCACAATGTGGATATTGACAGAAATAGCCATCCAAATATTTATCACTGGCAAAGTGCTTTGATGACTTACTCCGAACAAGAACGTGCTAGGTAAGATCAAGACAAATATTTTTAATGATATTTCTTATATTTCTAATCATAATTTATTATTTTGCAGTTTTCCACAGCCATTAAACACAACTACGGCCAATACAAAATCACCATCACCGAACAAAACATTTAACCGTTTGCCGATAAAAAATATTTTACCAAGAATCAGCCAATTCCACCTAAAACCATCGAAATTTTCCGCAAAAGATTAAATTTAGCTAATTTAAACGAGATTTCTGTTTGTGCAGAGAAAATCTTTTATTTAAAACAATCATCAAAATAGGGAAAACTGTATTCATCTCGCGCACACATGTGAACAAATTTGAGACAGATTAAAATGCTTCAAAATATTTTTTGAGATGTAATAATTAGATTTTTTTTTTATAGTTACTACAAGAACGATGAAACCAAAACCAATTTTTTATACTTTTTATCAAAGCAATAAAAAAACACCGTGACTTTAAAAGGTCTTTTTATAGAAAATCTGAATGAAAACACACGCATTTTTTTGTAGTCGTTGAGAGATTTACATCTTATGGCATGTAAAATGGACCGTTGACCTGTGCATAATCATAGCTCGTTGCCAAACGATTTGCCTGCAAATTCTGAAAGGAAATTAGATGGAAGAGATGAAACGAAATTATTATTAGAATTTATTGAAAGTGTCACTTACTCGAATGGCTTGATTTTGCTGCGAAAATTGAGCCATCTGGATCGGCATACGATTCATGGCAGATTGATTGAGAGACTCATCGCTGGCAGCAGTAGTTGGATCATTTCCAACACGTGAATTGATTTCAGCTACATCAATTTTACGCACCCTAGCCAATGCCAATGCATCCTTGTTGGCTTTATAACTTGACCGGTCCATTAATTTTAATGACAAGTCAATATACGGTTGCTCTTCCTGCATTTTGATTTTTTCCATCTCGTATAACTCGCCCTTATTAACAAGATATAAAACAAAATATAAATTATTTGCTTGCTCGAATATCGCTTTTGATTCTCTAAGTCATTAAATCGACCTTAATGACGTATATTATAAATTTATAATTGGCAATCGATTGCTCATAATTTCAAGTTTAAATTGGCAATCAATAAAATCAACCATAAAACATTGAAACGTGGCTTTCAAGGTAATAAGCGACAAAAGTAGAAAAACACCAACGTAGTTGAAATTCAACAGATCATAATTGATCTTTTTTTATAAAAATGTTCAATATTCGATTTAAATGGTTATATAAAAAATAATGACTCAATTTGTGGCAATTCAAAAAATTAAAAAAAAAATCGTGCATAAAAAACCATTTACACTCACTCGATTCTTGTACAGCATGCAACATGCACGCAAGCTGAAATAATAGATGATTTCCACTCCAGATAGTAAACTAAATCCAAGAAATAGTCCAGCAATGCCACCAAATGATACCAATAAATCGACCCATCCGAAAAGAACTGCGAGTAATCCACAATTATTTTCTTAATCAATCGATAAATTTTGAAAGCAACCTACCTTCACGTTTGTACCTGATAATTGGCCAAGTCAAATATTCAACGTTAACGAAAGTATCCAAAGGCTTGGACGGGTCCGCAGTTCTTTAAATAGAATTTAAATGATCGTTTTTATAAATTTAAAATCAATATATGGATAAAGCAATAAACACCTACGTTTTGCTCAATTTTTCAATTTCATAAACGGTGTTTGCACAGCTCAATTCACATCGGTTGCAGTCACGAACATCGGTGATATTTTCAGCAAATCGACTGAGACATTTTAAATCCTTTACGGTGCAATATTTTGAGTTCTCTTTTGAAGAAAAAATAAATAAATTTTCATTTAAAAAACTCAAAAAGATGAAACGACTCACTGATTTGGCGATAGAAAGGTGGAACACAACCGCAGAATTTTATGCTTTTTTTGATGCGACATTCCATCATACAGCTGGTGAAAATGTACTCTCCCGAGTAGTATTCCAGCTTCATTTCGTCGGGAAAAATGCATTTTCGTTGTCTAATCGACAGTTGCCTGGCATCTTCAGTAGTATAGGTTTGTTTCATTGAAATCAGCAGCTCAGCCGCAAAATCAGGCTCCCATATAACGTGCGGACGAAAATCCCATCCAAAGTTTTCCGAATGTGAATGGACAAAGATTTTGGCTTCACGCTTCGGTGTAAAAAGCAATGCCCATTTTTTATCGGTTTCAAAGAGTTCGTGGAATTTTTCGTTTGCGACTCTAAGAGACGAAAAAAACAAGAAAAAAAATACAAAGATTCTTCGTCGAAGGGGAATAGGAACGATAAAAAGAACTTACTGTCCAGTAGGAGTGTCGATGTACTTTGGATTGAATGCAAAACAAAAACCGTGTTCACTGAATATAGGAAAAAAATGTTCACAGCACGTAATGTCCTCATCGCGATATTTGCATACATCAAAGGTGTCTTTACAGGATACAGCAACCTATTGAAATATTAATTCCGTCACGAGATATTATTATTTATAAATAATTTTGTGGGCAAACTCGCCTCAAAAGCGTACGATCTCAATGATTCTTTGTCGATTGCATTTATGTATTTTTCATTAACAGTTATATTTTCTGCGTGCTGAGATTCGATTTTCATGTTTTCAAAGCTCAATTGAGGCAAATAAATTAAAAATTGTTGAAACACTTCGGTCGCCTCCTCATCGTGATTTCTTTACAACGAATTTTTCAAAACAGAAATGAAAAAAAAATGTAAAACAACTTTGTTTTTCACATTAAATTCTAGGAAACTAAATTCGATATGGTATGTGGCTTACCCTAATTTGGTGTTTGCTAGCTCATATGAACGGTTTAAGTCATATGATTCCATGGGACACAGAACAATTGTCGGGAATACCAACTGAGAATTATGCACGTCCATATCCAATCCTATAAACATATTTCACTCAATTTTAATTACTTTCATTTTTCGAACATTTTTTTTTCATAATTTTATTTCGTTCAGATTCCCAATATAATTGAGTTTTTGGTTGCAACATTGTAACGCAATTTGTGACTTAATACACTAAAAATGTGTTTGTGATTTATTGCCACCCATTCGTTCCACTTAAAATAGGGTGAAATTGTGCATTTCATTTTCATTAACTTAATACTTTGTGTCGGTTTCAATTTTCGATGTTCTATTTTAAATGGTTAAATACTTAAACCACTCACCCGTTATTGTTGGATTGGTCTGAAATTTTTCCCATAGGCTGCCAATTATAACAAATGCACTTATGAGACCCACGATAGTAAAGCAAAACCACATAAGACGTTCGCTGGCTGGCCTATTGACCTCCGCAATATAACGGACACCATGAAGAGTTGAATGCTGAGAGTTGAATATGAAATTGAAATTAAATTTGATGTACAAGACATTGTAACCATTTCATTAGATTTCTCCATAAGATTTTGTAAGAGATTTTTTTCCCAAATAAACTTTATACTGATGCTAGGGGGTAGACACGATTTAATGACATACAAAGATACGCACATACATTCGGACATCGAAATAATTGGTTTGAAAATTTCGTTAACGTTTTTTAACTGTGTTAAACCTTTGCCGCGAAATTATCACTTTAAATCGTAGTTCGTTTTCGTTTTTTTTTTTAAATCACTTTTACGTTGAAATTCATAAATTTACGTTATATAATTGCAATTTTATATATGATTCGAAGGACCAAATAATGTCAAGGGACATTAATACAGAGTAAATGGAGACAAGAGTGGTATTCAGCTGTTCAACATTAACTAAAAACTCTTTCTTTATTAATTCTGTTTCTTAAAATTTAGTACATTTGATTATGCCAAAAGGCTTGCCATTTACGGGCATGTGTATGGATTGTAATGTAGAATGCTTGATATGCAATATACAATGAGAATTTGGACTTTATTTTACACTTGTCTTTTTTTATGCTTAAAATGTGAATTTGAACTTTACTTTATTTTTATGCTAACAATACGAATTCGGACTTTACTTTACTCTTTGTTGTTTTTATGCTAAAAATATTATGAATTTGGACTTTACTTTATTTTTATGCTAACAATATGAATTCGGACTTTACTAATGAATGATATGAATTACGTACGCAAGCTAACTTTTCCGCATGGAACCGAAATTTTGGGAATAAACTGAAATGATGGTCTTTGTATGGTTGCAGTAACTTAAATCACCATGAAAACTTGTGAATATTATTTGCTTATCAAAATAAATAATCACACCAAGTTTAAAGAAATTTCAATCCAAAAAATAGCCTGTTCAAAGTTTCAGATCATTACGGTACCACAAAGGCATGTCTTTCATAAAAAAATGAAATTTTTTGTGGATTTTTGTATGAAAAGTCTGTGAAAAAGTGATTGCATCTTAAAACTAACATCAGATTCGGGTTCTCATGCCAAAAAACCCCCCACTGCACATTCTTTCAGCGTTCAAATTGAAAGAATATCATTTTAAGGCATTTTTCTCATAAGTGCCTCTTCAGAGTCTAAGTCTTACACCGATCAATCAATGTTGCTGAAAATTTGACCAGATCTATTCCTCAAAGTGCCCAATCATCCCGTAAATTCAGATTTTGAATTTCATGTCTGAGCACGAAACCATCGTGTCATCAAAATGGTTGAAAAACGATCAAAAAATGTATGGATGTGGGTACTCCATTAGGACCAAAAAAAATTACACCGGCCAACAGATATTGCTCAAAAACTAATCGAATATAATGTGAATATAACTCTGTAATTCATCGCTGTGTATTTAAAAACTAGTATTATTTATTGTAATTTTGGTTATAATACTCAATTACAATTCTTTCTCTCATGACGTTGTATTTTTTTAACTTACATTAAAAAATTCTTTCGTTTGAAACAGTAAACTTGTGCGTAACAAACGGAGTGAGGTAAATTCTGTATTCACATCACTTAATTCAACTGGTGCTGATGGCAGTGCGACTGGTACATCTGGTGCCGGTGGCTTTCTTAGTGTTTTCCTTTGTTGAGTTTGAGCACGGGAGTTTCTCCCAGGTATTGCCCAGTTATAATATTCCATTTTATATTTATCTCTTTGGAATAGTTCCAAATTTTCGAAAGAAAATATTTTTCTAAACCATCCAAATTGAATTCACAACCAAAACTAATCATACACATCATACGAAAGTGATATTTTCCATGGAACCTTCATGCTAATCAAATATAATAATTCAATTGAATAATTTATCAAATCAAACACCGAATGCTTTTGCTGTGACAACTTCATTCCGATTACGGTAAATTACATAAAATCACACCATCTGATACAACAATGTTATAGAATACAGGTATTGTGGTGTTGTAGCAGAGGAAAAAAAATCAATAGATATATCATGATTTGAAATCATTATTCTATCCGAGATCATTAACAAAAGCTGATACAAGCAAATCACGTAGAAATTGGACGCGCTATAAACAGCACTAATTGTGTAAGAGAAAATGCCACAGGCGTTTGATGTATGCCATTTCATACACATTTGTCTATTTTTAGTTTATTTGAAGTATAAACTATCAAAATTCATTTGCACGTCATTAAATTTTGATGGTATATCAAATAAAACAGAGAGTTAAAGGCTTAGAACAAATCCACAGCTGCTTGGCTTTAAATTTTATGAGTTATAACCATCGAAAAACTTGAATTGCGTATAAGAAAGGCCGACTCTTCTACGTTTATAATTAATCATTATGCTTGAGATCGTACTGAATGCAAAAGTTTTGGCGTGACTTTCGTTGGTTGAATTGAATTAGCTAAGTAAGTACATAATTGAATTATATAAAAAGTTTAAAACCTTTGATCATCATCAATATATGAGCGTTAAGTGGCACTTCTTTCGAATGCTATAAACAGTCACTTTTAAAGACTACCGTGTCATAAATGGTGTCGAAAACATCCTACCGAATTTCTGAGACTGCGAATTTTTCTATTGAACTTTCTATGTCTTGGACCATAACTATGTTAATCATCGTTTGAGATCGTTCGTATATTTGAACTACTTGAAAGAGAATTTAAAGACATTTGTAGATGATACTTGGAGTTTATTCACTTAGTTCAATTCTTTTTATATATTTATTTGACGAAAACACTGCAAATCATTCAACTCCAGATGCTCAATGAATACGGAATCAACTGACAGTTATTGAAGATTTATATCCATCAATTCAAGATTGTTTCATTCCTCGTCCAGTGCTCATTTATAGCAGTCTTCATCGAAAAATCTAGATTTCAAATAAAAAAAATAATAACAAACTGCCGCAATTACTTTGAACTTCGAATAAAATATCATAAGTTTGACTATTTGAAAAAAACCTTTATTTACGAGTAATAATAAAAATATCAGGAGAAAATGTCTCAACACTATCTTAAACCTTGTGGGTGTGCCAATAAAATCAGTACATTGCAGAGAATTAATTAAAACTTAAAGCAATTATTTGGTTGATACTGCGTGTAACCTTAACCTTATTCAAGTTTCTCTTCTGATTTTTCTTTCTTAGCTGCAAATAGATGCCTAGGAACTATAGCGGGTAGTTTCATGTGTTTCAGCGTATTTTCAATTGGTTCCAGAATGATTTTATTAGGCGCCATTTTCAATTCGTCTGTGACAAATTGATTCGACTTTGTACTTTCAACGGAATGTTTTCGCAAGTCTTTTGTTGGTGAATCACCATCAGAGATCGATTTTGTTGTATTATTAGAGGGGCTACCGCTTTGATCCAACGAAGGATGGCCGGAATCATTTTCATCATAGTCAGCGACCATTGTGCATGATTGGGGCTGTGATTCATCACCTGCACCTGTCGGTTTTTGGCAGTGGGTTGAAAAACGACGCTCGCATTCCGATTTGTAAATTTCTTCTTGCAATTGCTTCGATGACAAAATCGTTGATGGTGCGTGACTGTCTTCAGGGAATGATGCATGACTGTGCGCATTCGAATTGGAACGTTGTTGGTCGTAGATGTAATTGCCGTAGATACCATTGATCAGCTCTTCGGTGCGTCGCGATAACGGAATGATAATATTTTGATCGACATGGGTCGGCTCATAAGTATGTCGCGGGTAATCGGCTCCATCGTCATCGTCTGATGCAATACCAATGTGATTCGTTTTCACGTGGTACGGAAAACTCTTATTTGCTCGTGATGGCCATGTTATCCACTGTAATTTACATAGATATAGCATTAGTTTTTGGATTCTTCTCTGAAGATTTTTTTGAATAAATAATTGAAGCAAAGAAAACTTACCAAAAATGTCGAGTGTCCCATTAATGATAACATTGCGAATGTGAAGTACATAATGCTTTCTCGTACCCAGGCGTCAAGCATTCCAATGCCGATGAGGGTTAAGAAAGGTCCGCCCAAGATCCACAAAGAACCCAGCAGTCCAAACGGATAATAAAATGAACTTTTTTCTGGATATTTGCGAATGGTAATTGCAGTTGACATCATAAATACACACCACGCAACACAACGCAAAAGAGCCAATCCAAAACCTGCCGGCGACTCGTACAAATTTAATACCTAAAGAACATTTGAAGACAAAATAAACGTTGTGATTCAAGTTGCCGTGTTTTGTTTAGTTTTGTGTGAGAATTCGATCATACCTCTCCCGGATCAAATGCTTCTGCTTGATAAATGAATAAGATAATATAAGCCACAATATAAGTGTTGATAAAAATGGTGAGTTTAACAATGGAGCAGCTTGAGAGTCGAGCTCGAGTTATTGTGTATCCTTTGGCCATTAACAGTAACAAGAGAAGAAATGCAATTTCACTGACGCCACTCAATAAACCGCCGAACGTGGTGTGAGGACCAAATCCAGTCATGCCATAACGAATCCATGCTATTCCCAACACAATAACTCCCAAACATTGCATCATTACACTAAACGCAAACAAACGGTATGTGCAATGGTATAGATGCAGTGATTTCAATTCAATCGTGCAGAAAAATAAAGCCACCACTAACAATGAGTACAAAATGAATTGGCATAGCAAAATCGGCGGTATGACTAGAGAATGGAAGAGAAAAAATAAGAAATGTTCAAAAAATAAAATTTCCAAAACATTCTCCAACAAAAACTCACGTCTTTCATCCGCCGAAAAGTGTTCAGTCCAAAAGTCGCCACTTTTTCCGTTGGTCATTTTAAAGCGATATTTTATATCAAGTCCTTTCGTACTGCCACAATTGGCGATTGCAATGAACCACCACCGTTCTCTCGAGCTGATAAAGGTGCCCGCCTGGTGACATCGTACGATATAGGTTTCGCGAGTTGATCGAAATTTGAATGGTGCATTCGATCGTTCTTGTCGCTCATCCACATCACTCTCCTCATTATTTAAGCGTTCGCTCTTTTTCTGTGGTTCGAATAGTTCCTCAACATCCATCTTATAAGCCGTTGTATTTTCAAGTTCATTTTCGAGCCCGATATCGTGTTTGTAATATAGTCCGCCACCATTACGATGTGCACCAGCTGTAGCATTGAAAACTTCGGTGTCATTGATTTTCTCCATTGCTTCAACGCTGAATTCAACATTTTGCGTTTCTTCAGTATTGTTGTCCGAAGACTTTCCTTCACGTTCTCCCTTCGGAACGATGGTCGTTCTTCTCAAAAATTTATCGAATATCGTTTCGGTGGCCGCAAGATCACTTTCATTTTCTGACATCGTAAACTCGATGGGAGTTTGTTCCGTTGTCGAATAATAACGATGAATGGGCGGCGTGGGTGTATTTTGACTTTTTGGCAATATTGTACAACCTGATGTCGTCCGCTCGGGCGAGTTTACTGATAACGTTACAATTTGATTATCAATTCTATTCAACACGCTAAGTTTCTCACGGCAGGTCTGAATAAACGGCAAAAGAGATATGAATATTTTAGATTCAATATGGTTTTCAATAAATGGAAAACAATTGTCGTTGTAGAATATTTAAGTTTGTCAGGTAAAAACTTTTAAATATCGATTCAACTTTGAAGGAAAATCGTGCTTATTGAAAATCAAACACACAATCGTTCTTTTTTTTTTAAATGTATGCATAAAATGCTTAACATATTATTTTTAATTACTTTGTCAGCTTTATAAACCGAAGGCCATTGGGTTTTATCATCGTAGTAAAGTAAAAGTTGTGGTTCACCATATCTGCGATCAAATTCAATTTCATATTCGTATCGTCCACGTCCAGAAATGAAGCAAAAACGTGCCAGAAATGCCCAATCCTAAATAGTTGAATATTTAAACAATGTTACTTTTAATTTACCGTAAAAATTTACATTGAAAACGAAATCGATAAATAAATTAAGAACATACTTCGAGTGTTTGCAGGTGTCCGTTCACAAATTTTGCATGGCTGATATTTGGAAATGTTAAAAGGCACAAAAATAAAATGAAAACAAAGCGCACTGCTTTTGAATGGAACATAACTGAGAATTGCGCCACTACTTATTATTGACTACATCGAAAAATTATATGTGTAACATTGAAATGCGTTGAGGTACATGTGAAATGTCACTTATTCAATTAACACTCGTGTCTAATGTCAACTCACTGAGTGCAACTTTCAACCGGCACCCTTAACCACAAAATCAACTCTGAACTTGTTTTATTTTTTTTTTTCACAAAAAATGGTTTTTTTAAAAGAAATAAAAAAATTTTTTGGACGGAGTGATCAAAATTTACGTATGTCCGCATCAAAATCTGATTTGAAAATCAGTAAAATCGATAAAACAGTATAAACTATCCAATTTGGATGGTTGCTATGACAAAAATGAAACCCCAAACAAAAAAAAAACACCGTAAAATAACCAATACATGAATGGGGTAGAATAAAAACTACTTCTCGAAAAATTGCTTTTTTAAAACGAAACCTAAAAAAAATTTCAATAAAAAGTGAATCAATTTTTTTTTGTCCAATTGAAGTGAATCAAGAAAATTTTGTTCAATAAAAGTGAACCAAAAAAAAATTTCACTCGGTTTTTTCAGTAAAATGAATTTTTTTTTGTGTTCACTTTTATTGAACAAAATTTTTTTGGTTCACTTCAATTGGACGAAAAAAAATTGATTCACTTTTCATTGAAAGTTTTTTTTAGGTTTCGTGTTTAAACATTTTTCGAGAAGTAGTTTTTATTCTACCCCATTCACATGTACTTGTACATGTGTATAAGCTCAATTGTCCATTTAGTGTGGCAATATTGTGGTTTCGTTTGCGATACGTGTGCTTTTGCGTCAATGAAAGGTTCAATAAACAGTTTATTTCGATATATAATATCGAATTGCGTGCACGCGAATGACGATAATATGCGGTGTGGCGGATAATGAGCCAGCTAAATTCTTCCGACAATCCCAAATTCGTCACTCTGTTTACTTGTCTCTGCCGAATAATTGTTGACAAATATAATTGATGGACATTTCATTTATTTTTACCCCTTTTCCACGTAGATTACCATTAGGGTTGATTGCAGCATTAATGGACGCTATTGTTTGAATATATTATTGAATGTTATACGTCCAGTTGTTTTTCTCTACATGTTTTGTTTACCAGATAGAAATAAATGATTTAGTTCAACTGATGAATTCAAACGGTGAGCTCTCCTTGAAAGTTCAATTTTCTGTGGAATACAAAATCGATTGATATTGATTCCCGTTGCCTTTGACCTCTATCAAATTTGTTGAGGTCGGTTTCCCAATGCGGTTCATAATAAAACAACATTCTTGCACGCAGCGACACGGATAATAAAAGAAATGCATACGAAGAAAAAAAGAGCCCGAAGGAAAGACGTGAATATAATTTTATGTGCAAGCGGAGATTTCATTAATAAATACCGTTGGACACGAGGTTGAGGCAAAAAAGGAACAAAACAATTATAGAATTTACGACTTTGCGTCAACGCGTGGCTAGAAAAATGTCTATTTTCTTTCCAATATTTCAGCATATTCGTAAAATTGTTGAGAATATAGCCATTTCAGTGGAAGATATAAAGAAATTATAACAACAACAAAAAAAACACAAACGCTCGCGACACAGTGGCTCGGATGATATTTACGATTGGATTTGAGCGTGTCGGAATATATATAATATTGTGTAGACGCACGATCTACTGAACCAACTACATGTCACCGTATGTTGTGTTTGTCAGATTGCATCTATAATAAACATACGTTTCAACGCACTGTCCAAATGCGGAACAACCGATACCAACATACGTACAGAACACGGGCCACAATATGTGCAAACGACAAAGCAACACAGTATAGCGCACTCACGTTTTCTTTTTGCTCTCTTCTCTCCTCTTTCTTCCTCTCTCTCTCTCTCTTCGATCTCCTTTTTTTTCACTCGCTCTCAATGTTCTTATTTTGTCTCTTGAACCATTTTAAATTTATATTGTTTTCATTCTTCATTTGCTATTATTGCATTCATTCGAAAAATACGTTCAGGCTTCTGTTTCTCTCATTTTCAAAACAGAGACAAATGTTTGTCTGTCGACTGGAACAATCCTCCGTAATTATGCATACCCATTAAAGCAGAAACAAAGACAAATAAAAATAATATAAAAACACATCAAACGTATTGAAATGCTCGCTCTCTTGATGCATGTTTACAATGTGACTACGAAAAAAAGGCGATATTAAAGACAGAAGACGAAATGAGCGAGTGGAGCATGAACGAAAAAAGAAAACCATAACCAAGCGACAGGGAAAATTTGTCGATTGTCGACAACGATTTTTACACGCATAAAAACATCGAAACGAAGTGGATCAGATGCACTCATGGTTTTATGTATGCTAAGATATTTCTATCGATAAAACCGAGCATTTGATGTAACACATTCCCGAATGGAAAGTGACTGCTCGAATTGAAATCAAAGACATGTTTAATTCAACGAAAATTCCCATGCGGGAAGACATATCCACAAATGTCGAAATGGCATACATCAATTCAGTTATGATTCGTTTCTGTTCGTTTGAATGTGTTCCAATGTTTATAAAGCAAAGCATTGTGGAAGCAATAAAAATCAAAAACCAATTGAATGGATAGTAATTTAATAAGAGTCGCTGCAATTAGTTTATTATTTATTGCTGGCAAAAGCACGAGCCCCATAAATTACGCGTAATTTAAACGTTTTGTATATCAATCTATTTGAATGCCATTTTTTCCCTTTGTCGATCGACACAAAAAAAAAGGTTTGGAATTTTATGGGTTTTTCGCTTTGACTCGAATGCTAATAAGTTCATAGCGACATTTATTGTTTTCAATTCCATTGGCGAATAAAATGAATAAGATGCGTGAAACTCATGCAAATTTATCGTTTGTTGTTTCATTTATTCCGTAACGGTCTACTGATATCACATCAACTTACGTTTTCATATTATGTATTCTTGTGTCATATGCCACGACAAAAACTCGTAAAATATGAATCATTTGTTGTCATAACAAGATTCACCCGGTGGCTAAAAGGTTAAGTATACATATAACAATCGCGAAAATCGGATTTTCAAAGAGAACTTTTGAATTTAAATCTAATTCTCAGAATTATTATTATTCACTAGCATTGTCTGTCTCGTAGAAGGTTGCCTATATTTTAAGAATCGCGTCCTACAGTCTCTACAGGCTCGTAAACAATAAAGTATAATTAAAACCAATAGAACTTAAACCGATGCTTACCACATGAAATAAAGAAACTTTGTGAAGAAAAATACTTCAAATTCAAAAGTGGATTTGTTTGTGGAAAGTTCAAGTTCAAAATGTACGTGCCCAAAAACAATAAAGGTGTGAAAATGAAAATTGATTCGAATTTTTAATTACCATTCATAATAAGGACAACAGTTTTGAAAATTTGTTTTCCAAAGCGATATCCGAACATTTTATGTTATGAATCATTGTGTTCTCTATTTTCGAAATAATTTTCAGATTTGAATGATTCACCACTTATCCTGTCACCGTTCGGACATCGTTAAAAACAAACCAGAACGAAAAATTGAGATGATTAATTAAAGTGGCTCCTCAAAGTTGTCAACGGACTTGATTTCGATTCGAAAAGAAAAGCAAAAGATGATGCATATAGTTCCTTTGTAAACGCATATGCTGTGAGTGTGTATGCATGCAGTTTCCACTTCGGATCAAATTCAGAGTTTCTTTCTCTCTGTCTATGCATGCTTCATACATGCGTGTGTGTGAGTGTTAGTGTGTGCATTAAAATTGTTGATTTCTTGCCGCCTTCGTTCGTAGACTTTTGGCGGTTGGGACTCTTTAGTGAATCGATTGTGTGTGCGGTTAGTCTCACTAAAACTGTCGTCGGCATCAGTTTGTAAATAAATTTCGTTTGAAATAGCAGTTTTCTTTACAATATCGAAATTTAAAGAAAAAGAAACTCTCACTCATCTCTGTTTCTCGCGAACAACGCGAGCGTAAGCGTGGTTCCGTCGAGAGTTGTCAGTTTGCTGATGTGGTCGTACGCTGAAAATAGATTAATGTAATTCGTATTTTCCTCGGTTTTTTTGGTGAAAAAAGCGCACACTTTAGAGAATGAGTGAGATCTGAATTTGATCTTTTTTCTCTTCTTCTTGCAATCAAAATATCGAAAAGTGTCGTTGGATCTGGCCCTATTTTCAACTCACAGTCCAATTTTTTTACCAGTTGATTTGGTTGCTTTGGACGACAAGAAAGGCACCAAAAACGTGCGCTAAATGAACGACTAAAAAAAACGATATGAAATAAACATTGTGATCTGTTTTGATTGTGCAAGTGTGATAGTGACAACGATTTCATTCAGAATGTGTAAAATTAAATGAAACTGACGATAAATTCAGTGAGATTCAAGTTTATAAAAACAAACCAAATTTTTAATGTGATTGTATTTCAACAGATGCACGATTTTGTTTTGGTGATCTGCTATTTTAGTTTAGTTTATGATCGATTGCATAATAGATGTCATACAAAAACCAAATGATAACATCGACCACAAACGACAACGGCTACGACGACGATCAACAACAGACAAAAAAAAATTAATCAAAATTATGACAATTGAGATTTGGATGACGTCCAAACAACTGTTCCATCCCTTCTAACTCGGTCAGCCAGTCGAAAAATGAGCACACGCTCGCAAAATGATTAAGTGAATTTTACAAGCGTTGTTTGCATTGAACGGATTCTTTTTACATCGTACAAACAAAATAGTGTCTGAAATTCCAAATTAAACAACAACAAAAAAAAAAGAAACAAAACAGCGCACATACAAAAACCATTAAATGCGAAATGATGCAAAAACAGTGAGGAAACGCCAATTCTAAATTTGAAGTACGTGATTTTTCATGTGAGTGTGCCATAGCGAACAAGAAATTTATATAGAATGAAACTTTGGAAATCGAAAAAGAGTAACAATAACAATGCGAGCAGCAGTAGCGGTGGATCAACGTCCACAATCAGCTGCGTGCCTAAATCGTCTAGTCTAAACAAAACTAATGACGCAAAAACCGATACTGCAACAACATCGTCTACAACAGTGTCGGGTAAGAATTAGCAATTCTCTCTCACTCTAGCACATTCAATCTCAAAATAAAATAAATATATATACAAAATTCCAAGCAATTTTCAACAAAATAACATTTTGTTTTGTATATCATAAACAAAAGCGGCGGCGCATGGGTTAATTATGGCAGCCGAACGTCGATTTTGCGTGTGCGAGAAGAACATTTTCTCAATCGCTCTTTGTGCAAAAAACCACATATAGTTTCACAACTTGTTTTATGGCATTTACAAAAATGAGATATCTAGGAGAAAGAGAGCGTCGGTCGAACCCTTCATGAGTGTCGACATAAATTTAATTTTTCAATTGATTGCATGTATTATGGCCATGACTTCGAGTCTCCAACCGTCATACAATTCGATCGCGCTTTTATCGCGATTCGAAACGAAATCGAATGAAAAATGAAGTTGTAATTTCAATTGATGAAAGGGTGAATTAATTGAATTACGAGCGAAAACTGAATGAATGTGCGTTCACAACATCGCACAATTGAAGAATCGATAAAATGCGATTAAACCGCTGATTCCAGTGAGAATTCAGAAAGAAAACTAACATGATACTCAAAGTGGTAGTGTGTTAATGAGCTGAATGCGATCACAACGTTTTCAAATATCGACTCTTTGAGATGCAATCAATTGAAGTTAATTCGATTCATTAAACGGAATTGATGGGACATATCTTTGCTTTGTTTGTTCAATTTTAATTAAACGGCGCTCTTTGGACATCTCATTCCGGTTCCCTTTTTGGTAATTATTGCCACTTTGATTCGATTCTGATACTATCGATTCAATTTACGAAATTCTCTACAACGAAAAATAGCTGCAGTCGATAATAATGAAATAAAATTCCATATGCGCTGATGTATGCAAGTGGCAACTATATGCGAAAATCGGAATATGAATTTTCCATGAGAATAAATTATTGTCTATATAATATTCGGAAAGTTTTTGGCTTCATTTCAAAAAACAACATCATAAATGAGATCGGACACGAGACAGACACAGAGCGACAGATTATATGATATAAAAGAGGGAAAAAATCGATACGTCGCTGTCTGTAGACCGAATGACTCATATCATACAGAGGACCATTTCGACTTTCATAAAACATATCCCACTTTCAATAGAAATCATCTTTTTTTTTTTAATAAAAAAGAATTTATACGATTTTTTGCTAAAAATGAAAACCGACTGAAAAAATCGAGAATCTATTTACACATCAAAATTGATTTTGAGCATGCATAAATTACATTGAATTCAATTTTCGACCACATGAAATTTTCATATAAATATTATTATAAATTTTCATTGAATTCATCGAAATATTCGACGAACAAAGTTGCTAATTCATGTGAAATATCGTAAATTTGTTCATATTTTGAATATTGAGCGCAGCCCACATGGTTTTCCATCTAATTTGTTTCAAGTTTAATTATAATTACAAAGCAATATATTGGATATGTCGAATAGATTGTGGCATTTTCAGTGTGTGCCTCGACACAGAATCGATCCACATCGATGCATATGTGCCGGATAGAAAAGTGTAATGGCAAGCATATATATGGAATTTCCTTGCGTTGAATTTAATGTTTTAATTGGTTCCTATTTTGGCTCAAAATTTATTGCGTGGGCATTTACATGTGTAACCAACTGTTCTCTATATAAATCAACCCATACGTCCAACTATACGCATCGCCAGCAAATAAATACAATTGAAAATGAAACTTGAGTGATTGGTTCGATTCATTTGAAAATGATCGACGTTTTTTAAAAAAAAATTGTTTCATTCACGCAAACAATAGAACATAAATGTTTCATTCAGCACAGAAATGGTATTTCATTTCGAATTTCAAACGATTATGTTTCTATTAATCCATCGGAATTCAATGGAAAATAAAAATTAAATGTTCGGATTCGGTTCGTGATTAAACCTTCGTCCAATGCGTAATTCCCACTTTCAATAAACAGCTGCTAATCAAACGATTTGGAGTGTTTATTTTCACATGCATTTGAGAAAAAGTAACGCGCTTCTTTGTTGGTAGTGATTGCGCATTTCACTGTCACAACATGTAACCATATGATTAATATGAGCCCATCGGCAGCCGGTTCAAAGTTCATGCTGGGCAAAATACTAATTGTAACAGACAGCAACAAATGCAAAACGGAACATCATTGAGAGAATGCATACGAACGAAACAGACGCAGCGAATGACAACTTCACATGTGACAAATGTACTTATCTCTCTAATAATAACGAATGTTCTCTCATCGCCAACAAACCAAAAATCCAAAACAAAATACCAGAAAAAACGAGCGACAGTTTGAAAACAAATGAAACTATTTGTATTACTGTAAAAGGAAAGTATCGAAGGCGAGAGAGTGGAAAGAAACGACATCATCAACCCTCTTGAAATGTACTTAAATTATGCGTGCAGTGCACGCCGCACACATTATACCACATCGTAACATGCCAAAGGCAAGTGAAATAAAACACAAAAAGGAATTCCATAACAAACAATGTGTGGAAATTGAATTTATATACCGCTCGTGTGCTCCTTTTCTTAGTCTCTTTCTCTCGTTCTTTACTCAATTCGTTGTTTTGGTTTGCTGGAAAATGTGCATTATTGAAATGCAAAAGCGGTATAAACAGATGATATGTGCAGTCAAAATAGGAAATGCACATATCGAATGAAATGGCAAACCGGGAAATTAAAATGAAGTGTAAAAACAGAAGTAGCGACGACAAAAAATAACTTAATTGAAATTACATGTTTCGACGAATGGCATGGCTTGCCTTGGCTCATACCGAAGGCAATCACAACCGTTGCGCACACATAAATTTCATCATAAAGTGATAGTTTTCGGTATAATTTCCATGAAAATATGTTCGATGTGTTGTGCAGCCAGGCCAATTTATTTCAAGACATATTAACGACAATGTTTGCTGAGGATTTCTCTTTCTCTCTCTCTTACGCACTCACAACACGACATATTTTTTATTAGTTACGGCTGCGTTTTCGATCCAATACCGAAATCTCATAAATATGTATGCTAATTCATTCATATTTTATGTGGGTTTTTTTTTTCCTCTTGTACAAAACGATGATCTGATAACGAGCCAAGCAAATATTCTCAAATCTTATACATAAATCACACTCATAAATACATATACATGCTTTTTTTCGTCTGCAAATAATTAAAATTCTAATCAAATGTTTTTCTTAACTCATTTTTTAATCGAATACATTTTTTGTATTCTCTGGTATTCTTCTTCACTCTCTCTCCCCCTCGAACATCATCAAAAGTATTTCAATGTGATGAAATTCATGTTAAAATGTTGTTATTGTGATGAAATCTTTAAATTAAACTTAAGGCTTCTGGTGTTTTTTTCTTGTGATCTAATCTTAAAAGACACCACCATCGTCACACGAGATGAATGTTTTTTTATGTGTGCGTGCGCACATGACCAAAAACCATACGGCTCAAATATGCGCATTTGCATCAATGAACGATTATTACCATTGAAATGATGCAGCTGGCGGTGAGGTTGTTGACATTTTTATAATGCATTCACAGTTTGTACGGGATGTTTGTTACTCTTTTTGTGCTTTGCTGTTTGTGTGTCTCGATTTATATATGTTTTGTCCAACAAACTGTACTAGCAAAAAAACGGTATATTGCAGTCCTTTCGTATTATGAATGAAATGCGTTGTGTGTAAATCAGTTGTGTGCATAATTCAATCATCACCACTGTGTGTGTGAATTGAGAACCCAATTTCCAACGGATGCACATACAAAATAAATTTAGATATAAATATGGTTGATACTTTGTAAATTACAAACGTAGCGTTGAAGCGAAAAAAACAGCTTGAAATAAAGTCATGTAGTGTCGGGTTGTAAGAGTTGGTAAGAGTTGACTTTGGCTGAAATTTCAAATGGAAACGCAAATGAATCGAACAATTTAATAACTAACCGCACTCAATGCGTAACGAATTAATGAGATAGAACGAGAAAATGTACGGAGAAAAAAAATGACGCACAAGAGAACTCTGATTTTCAGTTATTGGGTCAAACGCATATGGAGCAGATGAATTAAAAATGCCAAATGTATATACATTTCGATTTGAACGAACATTTCGACTTACGCACACTTTGAATGGTGTGTGCGTGTTTTCATTGGAATTTACATTTATTTGCTATTATTTTGATTAAGCTGTAATTGGATTTCGGTTTTTGTAACAAACGATCTGGTTTTATGGTTTGGCGTCTTGAATTATGCAAATCATTTATTGTAACATTCAATTTATGCGATCGTTTGAAGTCGTTCAACGGATATGGATATTGTGTACTCATTTTACGTAAGATTACATTGCCGCACGATCTATATGTCGCGCGCGCATTTTCCATGAAAAAAGATTAAAAATAAACGGAAGATCGTTGGGTTTTTTCTTCTAAAAAAGGGGGAACTTCAATTGAAAGAAAAAAAATCTTTTTGGTTACATTAAAAATGACTTCGTCTTGAGTATTTTTTACTTGAGTAAAAAAATTGCTCTTTTTTCCGTCATTACACTGTCACGAAATGCGTGCAACGTTCAAGAATGGAAATCATCTCTCGTTTAGTCACAAATGACTCACAATGACAGAAAACTGAATCTTGCGATATTACGCTCTCATCCGTACAATTGAATATGACATGCGATATGGCATAAGAGCATATGAGTAATGCTAAGCTCATATCTCTCACAATTTTATTTTGATATTTCTCGTCTATGTGTGGTGTGTTTTTTTTTCTCGGTGCGCATCGGAAATTCATTTGCACGTCTCAGTCTAAATTTAACGTTTACTTAGTGTCACTGGTTGCGAAATGAATGCTCCATTTGCGCGATGTGGTTTTTACTGAAATTCACTTTTGTCTTAAATCACATTTGACTGACACTAATTGAATTATGAAATGTAATATTTGGTTATGCTCAACAAGAGTTCCAAAAAACGACTGCAAAATGATATGTGCAACAAATTTTAAAAATACCAGATTTTGACCGATGATTCGGCGAATGCACCTGATTTAGAGCAGGTATTACGAAAATTGTGTGTCGCCTTCAATTTAATTCGCCGATGAAAAACAAACAACACAAGGATGTGTGGATGAAACGTTGTGTGGTCGACATTTTTATGTTGATATTGTGCAAATCTGTTTTTGAGTGAGGAAATTTGCGTTACTAATGGACAGAGAATCAACAGCAACTTGCTCGTCGATGAGCAAACAGTAAGGCGAACAAATTTAATGAAACGTGACCGCAGCAATGTTTAAACAAAAAAAGAATGCCGCTTTTCACGTTGATGAGAGCGGAAAATGACTTTTGAAGATTGCAAACATCTTTTTTTGCGTAAATTTCAAAGAGAATAAGAGTAATTTAGGCATTTGATGACATAAATCAAATGTATATCCGGTAGCAGTGTAGTGTGTTTGGTCGACGAGTTCTAAGCGAACAAAGTGCCTGTTGTATTGATGCCATAAAACCAAATGTTAAATTGATGGCGAATTGCGGTGACTTCTTCACATCGTTTCTGAAAAATTTTTAACCGAGAAAAATGTAAACAACATTTAGAACAACTGAAAGAATCACGATGTAGTTAAAACATGCGTCGATCATAAAATATTGAAACTCATTGAAAAATCGGCATTTAAAATCATAAAAAAGTGAGTGCGAGATTTTCATTAAAGCAATACTTTGATTTTTTTTTTAGGTGAACGTGCAATGTCTCCGGCTCAATCAGAAGATTCAGGCTTGGCAGCCGACAGGGGAACGACATATGCAACCATTTCGTTGCCTCGGGAAAATGCTCAAGCAATGGGAATCGTATTTCTCGGTAAGTGAATTCAATAAAAATTCAAGTTTTTAGTGTAATTTGCGCATCTCATAAAATCTACTGAGAATAAAAGAAATCCATTTTGAAAAAAAGGGGTTCGGTTTTCACTCTCTCTAACTCGTTGGTGTGTTTTTTTGTGTATCACATCATATTTTTCGTTAATTGACGTTAGATGTGTTCATTTCAACTGCACTTCCTACATGATGAATCTCTCTCCGAATGAAAACTCGCCGACACTTGTAAATCACATAAAATAATATTAGCTATAGCTATAACAGCAAATGGTTTGCAATACACTCGAAATCTTTGGCGCCGAATATATCAATATCAACATACTGGTCGCAACGATATAATTATGCTATAAATAATAAAACAGAAGAGTGTGGTGTGCGACTTAACCAAATTTTTTATTCATTTTTATTGTCAGATGAAAGATTCGTTTTTCCTTAGTTTTCATGTCTCGAAACAATAAAAGCAAGCACATTTGATGACTTTTCATCTAGTTAATGAAATCATAGACATAGTCTGCGAACAGTATTTTGAAACAAGGCTTTATAAAAAATACATGATGAATATTCAGCCCAACAGTTTACAACGTTTTTTTGATATTTACACGAGTTTCTTTTTCGTGTTGCGAGTTGAAAAAAAAACTAAACACGTTTTTGCACGGTGTAAAAAAAAATAACGAATTTAAATGAGGTGCCAACTGATATTTGGGAAAAAAGCCGTTTTTAAACCTACGCAACCACAATCATATACACATTTTACATGTAGTTATTTGGTTGTTTCAATGTCGAGAAAATCCATTTAGTGTGAAACAAATGGGCTCCAAATTTATCGATTTCACATGTGACAAACCGTTTCATTGGAATGCCACACACATTTATATCCCTTGAACTTATTTTGCATGAAATTGATTTTGAAAAAATTTCTATGCCATTGAAAATTTATCGAATTGAAAGAAAATGAGAATTTGATTATTAATGAGAACAACACTACTTTCTTGCTTCAAACCAGACAATATATTTAGCTGCCGTCATCTGGATATTACAGCTCATCTGGATATCGTCAGCAGATGATACGAAGTGAAAACAATGGAAGTGATTGTTATAGGTATATAAGCTTGTTATATACTGGTATTACTATAACAATCACTTCTATTGTTTTCAATTCGTATCATCTGCTGACGGCATCCAGATGAGCTGAAATATCCAGATGACGGCAGCTAAATATATTGTCTGCTTCAAACACTATTCAAGAAGAAGAAAGTGGCTTGATAGTGTAAGGAAAGTATATGAGGCACGCTCCGTCTTGATGTAATTAAAATCAGTCGAAAGACGATGAAAAAAGATATGAAAATGTAGAAATGTTCCAAATGTTAAGACTAGAAAATCACTTTCAATTTATCATTCAATGAGACTTTTTTGCCGCCGCCAAGATGTTGATACTTAAAATGGATACACAACAACACATTTGTTTCTAAAATAAATGGTGTAAATTTATTCGTTTTTTTTTCTTGTTTCATTTAACACCTTTTTCTCTAACATTTCTTCTACCTCCAAAAACATTTCTTCGAACATGTTTTTCCAAAAAAAAAAAAAAAAAATGTAAACAAAGTCTTTGATAGATGAAAGGATCTGCGATCAAAGTGAAAATCGGCTAAATGATATGCCCTGCGATTCGAATTTCAAATGGATTTCTTTTCTTCAGATAATAGGTTTGAAGTGATGCTGAACGAAAATAAATGTCGATTTTTTTCAAACTCAACACAACTTTTTCTTCATTGAAAATCCCCAGAGCGTTTAGATTTATCATATCCACCAATAATCAGTGCATTAAACACACTTGGTCCGGCCGCTGACTTTCTAGCACCAGGAGATCGTATACACCAAATCGACGGCATTTCAACAATTGGATTGACAAATAATCACGTTTTAAATTTGTTACTGAATGGAGATCAACCAGCTGTCGTTGAAATTGAATATTGTCTACCCGAGTACAGTGAGTTCTTTAAATAAAAGTTGAAAAAAGGGGAAAAAATATTGAAGTGACACTTTTTTCTCTTTCTTTAGTTTCACAAAACAGTGTCTGTGTAACGACAAAGTTGGCTCAAATCACCGTGGAAAGAGAAAATGGTTGTCTCGGCTTGACTTTGCGTGGCGGTGGCGATTTTCCGCTGTTGGTGGTAAGACGTTTTTCAATCGCAATGATCATGAGTTTTTTTTTCAATTCAGCTGCTCTCAATTTCTTTTCGCAGACAAATGTTCGACCACATGGGCCAGTATTTAAAGTGAATCGCATTAAACCCGGTGATCGATTGCTTCGCGTTGACAATGTAAGTGTGAATAGAAATATCCTGAAGCATTCAATTTGATTGATGTCCTCTTTTTACAGATTTCCCTTGTAAACAAATCACTGCTGGAAGCACAACAGATTTTGAAATGTGGCCATACGTCGGGCTTGACGAATCTAACCATCGAATATGATGTCTCTGTTATGCAAAGTGTGGAATTTTCATTGGGTCCGTTGCTGATCGAAATTGAGCGGCCGATGAACGAAAAACTTGGCATCATTCTTAGCAATTATTCCAATTTACAAGCGAGCACGATGGATACCAAAAATGACATCTGCCCATCGGGCATTTTCATAGCTAGCATATTGGCAGCGAGTATTGCTGATCGGTAAGTGAAAAGATGCAAGTAAAATAAACTGTGAAATTCACACATTTGATTGACGTTTGCCGTAGGTGTGGCGCTCTTTCAGTCGGTGATCAAATTCTCTCCATTGACGAAACGATCATTGAAAATACAAGCTATTCACCCGAAGATGTGATGTCTTTTTTGAATGGGCCGTCTGATCGTGGTTTCACCCAACTACAAATATTGCCCGTACATGCGATTCAACGAAAAGGTAATTAACTCACTTTGAAATTTTACACCCAATAGAAGTGTGTAAGCAAATTTTGCAGAAAACGAAGTTTACATAAATTATTGGTTGTTAAAAATGATGACAATGAATCGATGGTCATCAATTATACGACCCATTTGAAATACGTTGCCATATTAAAACATTTTTATGATCATTTTAACTGCCATCTGGTTTAATATGAATAATGCACTTGAATAATGTACTCGAATGAATTACAAACAGAACCTTAGTTAATGAAAATCGAAAAAAACGGCATAGAATTTAACATATGAGACGAATTATGGAAAGGGAAAGCACAAACCTGAGACTTGATTGACGACGTCAATGCAATAACATTTCCTTTCATAATGCCATTAAAACGACTTCAACGAGATTATGAATAATCGTGAAATGAGCACGTGTTGCAAGAACTCATAAATACGGATTTTTTAAATATACATGGGCCAAACGTGATCATTTAGAAAATGACAATCAGTGTAGTACGTGTCATTGTAAAAATAGCATTTTAAACAAAACACTTATCGAAAAGAACAAAAAAGAAGCTAAGCACCTTTCAAACCTCCGTCATCAAATTCATCGAATATAAATCCACCGATTCTGGAAAATGTGATTGCATTTTAAAGGGACGGTGACCCCAAACACGAAGAACATTTTATATGAAAATAAAATTGGACTTGGAAACGAAAACATGTCATGAAGAAAAATCACGTCGGATTTAAAAATGAAAGATGAGCACAAAGTTCAAGATAATAGAATGAAAATTATCACAAAAATCGAGAAGAGAATAAGAAAAATGAAAGAAAAATGAAAAACATCACACAATTCTTTAGATTTTCACAAAAAATTTATGCTTTGAAATTCGATATTAGATGAAAGCAGAAAATGCATCGAATGCAATTCGATTTTCAATTTTTCAACCCACTCTATCGAAGCAACGGCATTTCCTTTGTGAATCGGTCAATTCGTTGATTTCATTTGAATGTGTCCATATTTATTCGCAAAATTTTTGTCATTAACCATTTTAAGAGCCGTTCAATTCTCCACTTCGTTGCTTTCTCGTGATTTTTTTTCTTTTTTCACGCGCGCTCGACAAAATGTACGCTAACGATCGGTGAACACTGCAGCGCACCAGCTGTCACACACTATATCAATCAGTCTAAAAATATTCATCCCATAAATTATGCTACAAAATGCGTTCGAAACTCGAGTGCTATGAATTCAAAAGTGATTTTTTTTTATTTTTACATCAGATTTTTTTTTGTTTGGGATGGTGTTTACATTTGTTTTAGCATGGCTTTTGAGTTTTACCATCCGTTCATTTTTTTTTCGAGACTTTTTTAAAAACTCAATTAAAAAGTAAAATCATGGCTTGATCGCAGGATATAAAATTTTAAACAAATGATTCAAAAATTAAAGATAATAAATGGCAAGTCTTTTCTCTCTGTCTCTTAATGTAAATGACAAATGATTTGCTTCTGGTTTTAAACAGATAATTTCGGCTTGTCACATTTCATATTTTATTCTAAATGTGTTTAAATTTCAGGCTACAATACACTGGATTCACGAAAAACGCCAAAGCAAAAGCGATATATTCGAAAAGGTTCAGTGGGACCATCTGGCTCCAGTTCGAGTAAGTTACATACACATTCATGCTTAACTTTTAATTAAAAAAATTGTGTGATTCCGTGCAGGTCCATTGTATGCAAATGCAGGTTTATGTCATGCAGAAACAAGTCAAGTGATGCTTGATTGTAGCCAAGGCTCTGGTATAGTAATCGGCACAAAAATCGGTCAAGGATATGCAATAACACACATAATACCTGATTCGGCAGCCGATCGATGTGGTTGCATTCAAATTGGCGATCGTTTAATGTCGATAAACAAATTGTACAATTTGGATGCGAATACAATACGTCAGATTTTGGGTGACAATGGTGGCAGTAGCTCAGCAATTAATACGTACCAAGTTCCGTCACCGTATTGGGTAGAATTGGAGATAGAATTTGATATGTTTGACTCGGTGATTCCGTCGCAAGGAGTGTTCAGCGTAAAATTGGCCAAAGTAAATAAGAGCGATTTGGGAATAACCGTGAATGCAACGGCGCATGGATCATTTATCATTTCGGAAGTGAAACGCGGTAGTCCAGCACATCGAACCGGTTCATTGCGTGCCGGTGACATTCTACTCGCTGTTGATTCACAACAATTGCAGCACTATAATGTCGATGCATTGCTTAAAGATCGCTCAAAAGAATTCACAACACTTACAATCAATCGGAATGCATTGCCTGACTTTCTATTTGACGCACAGCAACGATTCAATGGTATTTATAGCAACGGCAGTGGCAGCTCGAAAAACGATTATAATATTTATGGTTCGGGAACTGTTGGGAAATATCTCGAAGGAAAGAATGTTTCATTTGAAAAAATGTCATCGTTAACGAATACAATGAAAGCAAAAAGTTGCCAACCAGATTATTATCATACGAAAGAACAAGATAAATCCCGACAGACAACACCATTTTCCAGTGCAACAATGCGACATCCATTTCTGTGTAAAACCAGCGAACCGCCATGCTTCAATCGAAACACAACTAATGATAATACAAACAGTATGACGACGGAATTACCGGATGAAGATTACAACAACAGCGTTCCATTTGACTTGGATTATCGTGAAAGGTGAGTGATTGCTGGTTGTGACAAGTATTTTTATCTATTGTATCTTCTTGTTTATATTCGATTTGATGTTTATTTTTCCAGTTTCGACTCCTCAATGCCACCTCCAATGGATATTCATAATTCCACGTATGGAACCCATCAATTAGTTGTAAATGTCAGACTCGAAATAAATGGTGGACCTTTGGGAATCACGTTATCTGGCAGTGAAGATTCCAATAAACCTATTTTAATCAGTGCCGTGTTGGATGGTGGAATTGCACAGAGCTCACATCAAATCAATGTTGGTGACTGTCTATTGGCCATTAATGGAGAAAGTGTACAGGGAAAACCATTATCACATGCCACAAAGTTACTGCAAAATCTTGGAAATATTGTGGATTTGAAAATTTCACGGAATATCAACGGTAAGCTCAAATTCAAAAGAAAAGCGGGAGAAAAATATCTGATTGTTGTTGTTTTTTCAGACTACGAAAACCAATTCGTTTTACATAGCGATATAAATCCACAAGCAGTTTATGCAAAAGTGCAACGAAGACCACGAACTCCGCTCTATGGAAACGGCGTCAATACGAATAGCGTCGAAATCGTTTCAAATTCCAGCAAAGAAGATGGGAACAGGTATAGCTCATTCCATGTGACACTTTACAAAGACAAGGTGTATGATGATTATGGATTTTCTGTGTCCGATGGCCTGTACGAAAGGGGTGTTTACATAAATCGCATACGAAGCGGTGGACCGGCAGATACGGTTGGCCTTTTGAAACCATTCGATCGAATTGTTCAGGTAATTTTTACTTTCATTCATTTTGGAAATCGTTTAAATTAATTAAAGAATGTTTATATGAAAAATATGTTGTTTTGTTTGGATTTACTATGTCAAATAATATTAATGTGATCGATCTGTTATTTCAGGTGAACGACACAAAAACCAAAGATTTTGATTGTTGTTTGACAGTGCCATTGATTGCGTCAGCCGGAGATAAAATCGAGTTAATAGTTCAAAGACCAATTAGCGAATAATTAAGAAAACATATACTAAATGGAATAAACCTAATGTAATTTAATGATATTTCTAAAAATTCTATAATTGTAGCAATTGAATCGAATACACAACGCAAATTCAACATAACCTTTAAGTCAACATTATTTATAATCATATACTTACTAGATAATTCTTCGTGGCGACGACTAATCATCAATTTAAAATCAAAACGACACTATAAGTATTAGAATTAATTCATTATTACTGTTAGCTTATGCGAATGGCCAAATTATACTTAAGACGATAAGATAGTTATTGAACCTGAATTACAATGCGTGGAAATAAACCATAATCTTATGAAAATTTTTGCATCTTTACTTTGTTTCATTTAAAAATCATGATTTTTCAGACAAATATTTTTTAGAGCCTACAACATCATCCAATAATAGCTGCTGGGATTATTTGCTTTCTCGCTTCATCTGTCGATTCAAAAAGTTAAAATTAGCAATAAATGCATACCCTTGTGGAAATATTTGAGGGGTTTAGAGGAAAAATGTTACGTAGAAAAGTTCCGCCGAAAAATGTTCGGGAGCTAAATGATATCATTTAATAGAGCTATTTGGTACCATTTAGCTCTTCTAAATAGCTCAACTATTTGGTACCAACGAATACATCGTCTTCGAATGCTGAGCCAGAAAAATTACACAAAATTCAGTCAGAACAAATCACATCAACACAAGACGGCTGAACAGCGAACACGAAAACCGCAATAGTTCTCCAATGATATTCCACGACCTGAACGGCAATTTTCGTCAACGTTTGCTCATTTCAATCTGGGCCTTTCGTCTGGAAAAACACGAACTTAAACGTCAACCGCACCACAACAACCATATCAATGGACAAAGATCCGGCGCCTTTTCAGCAACATAGGCAAGCGTTCAACTTTTTAGAACGGATATAATGCTCGGAAACCTAAGAGATAGACACCATTTTCTAGTATATTTAGTTTCATTTCATATGTATTGAGTTTCTTTTAGTATATAAATAAAAACGCAAATATTCTGCTAGTATTTCTAGTATTGAGCCAAATCGCATTGCCAGTGTGAAGACAATTATACAGAGAATAATAGAAAACATTGTTCTCACTGAACGCAAATATTTTGTTTACAAAAATGTACCGTTAATGTCATCATAAGAAAAGTATTATTGGCAATGTATTTTGTATGGATCGGTCACAGAATCAATATGAAGATTCTAGTATAATTTTAGTTTTGTATATCAAAACTGTGTGTCTACCCCCTAGATGGAAACATTCAAATTCCTTCACTAATTGCAACACACCAATCATATCACTGGCCACAAACTCCACCATTAACTATACCATCAAATTCATACCGAACCACAAATACATCATTAGTATTATGGTAATCAACTGACACAACACAGTATCGTTCCAGTTCCGATGAACCGCCAAGATATAACCAATCCACATCAACTGAAAAAAGCCGAGCTATCGCGTTACACAAACGGACTTAAATTTAATGTAAATGTTTATGAAAAAAACGTTCTCATTCAATCTGATCCACCCAAAAAATTATCGATCGCAAAGATCCATAAAATGTTCATGTTAATCAAAACAAATAAAAATTGTTTTTATTACATTATAACTGAAATCCTTACTATTAGCATTACTGTAGCAGAGTTGTAGGAGTTTAATATGAATGGAGAAGAAAAATGGAATACTTTGTTTAAAAAACACCATAATTTTCGATCGATTCGAAAATTAGACTCAAAAAATCAAGTCAAAATAATTGCACTCACTGAACTATGAAACAAATTCGGATAATTAATTTTCTACCGCATTTCTTTTAAATTCGAAAAAGATCAATAAAAACCAAAATATGAAAATTCTTTAAAGAAATAATTACCAGTTTAGGCTATAAGTTTCTTTTTTATGTACAGCATTCTACCAAAAATATACAATTTTTAAACGAACCGATTTTTTTTAATTTAAAAATAAAAATGTGAAAGAATAAATAAATTAAAAAATCTGTGTCTGTTTGCCCCATTGATTGTCTATTGAATTATAGGGTTATTGCATAAAGATTAAAAATATAATTGAGTTCAACAAAATCTTCAATTTATGGCATTAAAAATAGGTAATGCGCAATATTCAGTAGTTAGTATGTGGTGTTGATGATATGCACCTTAAGAATTTCACTTACGATCACGATCGTATCTCCAAACCAATACGCAGAACACTTTCGTCAATATATTGATTATATAGAATTATTTTGTTTCGAATAAATTTGAGAGACCACAAACGAAAAATATTTCGTGTTTAAACACATCAAAGGAGATAAAGAAGGTTCAAAGGTACAACAAAACCAAATCATTCGGTTCGAAGTAATCTTTTGACTTTTTTGAAATTGTACTATTTCCATGAATATTTATATATAATTTAATGACTTAACAGCATTCAAAATTGTTTACATAGTGGATGATATTTTTAGTTTTATTTTCGAATATTAGAGTTTTGTGTCTTTTTTATCAATTTTTATTGGATGTCACATGAAAATCAATAGATCAACATCATCGATTTGAAAGTCAAGCCCCCAAAAATGTTGTAATTTCAAGTTGTTCATTTTATCGTTCAATGAAATCGCTTGGGACAGTAACACATGCCAACGAAAAACAACATGATTTTCATCGAACTGTAAATACGTCGGGATTATCTTTTCGTGTCAAAATGAGAGTGTAAGCGAAAAGGGAATCGCTTCGACACTGGATCATTGACGTAAATCAATGTTAACTTTTTTTTGAATTCTCCTGTCAATATCAATTTTTTTTGTTGTTGCAATTAAATAATGAGTTTTTTCGCATTTGGCTTTTTGATGAATTTCGTCTGGCAAAATTGAAAAATTATCACTCCAATTTATGTGAGCAAAGTACAGAATCGAATGTCGCATGCATTTCTAATAACTGATTAAACAATAAAAACCGTGTTTACATTCGATTGATTTGTTCAAGGATATCGACATGCTTTCAAATGCACACCGTATCAGACAAAACTATGTACAAAAATAGATTTAATTGAAAAATATCGATTGAACAAAGTTCAGGCAATTTCTTATCACATTTTCGCTGGACAAACGAAAACAATGTGATCCCTTTTCACAAACAAAATTCCAATTTGAAACGCCTCGAAACTACTAAATATTTTCGACTATTTGACGTACGTACACATATTGAAAGGCCACGTAATGCTGAACCGAATCATCAAAAGCGTAAACAGCTTGTGTAATTTGTGATACGAGAATCTCGCATTAGATTGCGCCAAGCAAATATTCAAATATTGGACGCTTCATGAGTCATGGGGAAATAGTTGTGGTTTTTTTTTCTAATTTTGTGACCAAATTTAATGATAACTGACACAGAAAAGTACATGTAGCGGAAATAGAAACGAACAATTGAGACAAAAATCGTAGTCGCAACGCTTTTTGTTTGCAAAACGAAAAAAAAAACGTCTGTCCTTAAATAAAATTATAGATAGTGATGAAGTTGGAAAGCGCCATTTCGAGTATAACCTTTTTTAGGATTCTCATAAAAGATTTCGTTTTTTTTTGTCATCAGGTTGGAACTACTTATTTATTATTCCTGTGGTAAAAGTAAGATAGATCCGATTTTTTTAATTCAAATTCAAAGACGTCAGAAAAAATGCCTTACGAAATACACTGATAAAAATGTGACCCGTTAAAAGAGGTAATATTATTTTGTTATTTAATCTATCATTTGCAAAACCATCAAGCTAACTAAGTATATGATTACTTCCTTGTTTTGATGCATCAATATTTACACTAATTTCGTGCAAATAAAAAAATGGAAAAATTGCGGCGCATAAAGTGTGGTGGACTTGCGCATCAATTAAATTTAAAAAGGTCAATCTACACAATTAAAACGCAAATTCTAAGCTAAATTAGATAAATTAGAATGTCTGCATTCTTGACACTCGTTATACCCACCTTATCAACACCCATTCTCGACACACTGCTTGATTTTACGCAATTTGGCAAAAAAAGGCGTTAATGAGACAGTATGCAATCAAATTAAGCCCTTTGCTTGGCGACCAAATTCACGCTACCAACACATTTCACTCGAATTCGATTGTTGATAACATGCAAACATCAACACGCAAGGGATAAGCATATCATTTCACAAGAGTACAGCGCAACACAGCATCGAAGACGCAAGTAACGGCATGTTATTGTGTTGTTGTGCGAACTCTTGATAAAAAAAAACGATTCAGTTACACACTGGCTTTATTTCTCTGTCTCTTTCACTCTCTCGGTAATTCGTGGTGTCACATCGTTCTGATCGGCTCCCAACATAATGTGTATAATAAGCGTTGAGCTAAACGATCTATCCATCATTTCGGTTGTGTTTGTTCGCTAAGCAACACCGCATTTCTGGCTCGTGTCCTGTACATTCAACAATTAGAGACGTTCAATTTTGCTATTCAAACACAATTGATAAATATAGACACATTTGCTCCAGTTTCATCATCAAAATCGCTAAAACATCATTAACAAGTGCATACCCGTACCATAACTGTCCCGATAATCATTGACATTTTTGACATGTGTATGCTACACTAATAATTTACAATAGTTTACAACTTGCACGCATTTTTTCATTGAGTCAGTCCGAGTGATGGTGTCTTCGCGAGCGGCTCGCGTGCGTAACTGATTGTGATAGCTATTTTTTGTTTTTTTGTTTGTGGATTTCAATTGTGAACATTTTTTTGCTGCAAATCGGACTAAAATAGTCAAATCAGAAATAATTTATTTTAAGCATTCAATTCGATCAACAATTTTGAAGTTTTTTGTGGTATTTTCGTGAAAAAAAGTTATATTTAAAATGTTATTCACACCGATGTCAAATTCGACGACAGGATTTCTGTTGCAAACAATGCTGTATGTGGCAAATATCACCAAGCATGATTTAAATGCACCAAAAACACGCGAAGATTTTTTATTATCACCAATGGGAGCTGATTCGGGTGAGTGCAATGACTCATATATAAAAAAAACATTTCAATAACACTTTTCATCAGTTGTCAGCAGACATTATATTTAGCTGCCGTCATCTGGATATTTCAGCTCATCTGGATGCCGTCAGCAGATGATGCGAAGTGAAAACAATAGAAGTGATTGTTATAGTAATACCAGTATATATCAAGCTTATATACCTATAACAATCACTTCTATTGTTTTCACTTCGTATCATCTGCTGACGATATCCAGATGAGCTGTAATATCCAGATGACGACAGCTAAATATATTGTCTGGTTGTCAATCAAATGAGAACAATGTATATGTTGTGCGTCTGCTTGTGTCTGCATAAATGTTTTATTTTAATTGTCTTTTGTTACGGAATGTATCTTTAATTGAGTAAATTTTCTAGAAATAGTAAATGTGTCAAAATAAGTCTATTCAAAGAGTCACAGTTATTTTTTTTTTTTTGCTGAAAGTGAGATTGTCTTTTGGAGAACATTCAAACAACTAGTCGCGCGTTCTCTGTCATTCACAAGTGCCTAAGTAGCTCTTTATTATTTTAACTGATTTAATTAATATTTGTCTCGGTTTTAAATTGATATCAATTAAGAACGCAGCAATGCAAGCTGTCTAAGTATGATTGCACGCACCAAAATTATCATCATCACTTTGGGAGCAGCCAATGTTGAACTTCTCTCTGTCTTTTTTCGCTAATAAAAGTCGTCGCGACACATTCATATCAATATTTAGCATCCAATGCGTGCTTTATCGCAAGTAGCGTTTGAAATGACTTATGAACCCCCTTCAATGCGATCACTATTTTTTTCTATATTTCCAAGTAATGAGTGATTACACGACGACATAAAATCAAAAGTGATTCAGTTAAATAACTTTTTTTTGTTGCCAATTGGTTTTAATTTTTTGTATTATTTTTTTTTAGATCCTGAAGCACCACGTTGCTATGGTATCTATGGTTGTTTTCCAATCAACGGCCCTTGGGGAGGTGACACTCGGCCAATTTCGAATTATCCCGAAACACCAATGAAAATAAATACAAGATACGCCGTGTATACGAAACATAATCGACACATGCCGAAATATTTGAGCTTAAATGAAAGTACCGAAACAAAATATAGTGGAATCAATCCGAAAGGAAATATTTATGTGATTGTGCATGGTTACTTGGATAGTGGAGATCGACCATGGGTGCTTGAGCTGATGAACGCTCTGCTTGACAGGGATCGCTCGGGCATTGCATCGGTCGTTACAGTCGACTGGAGTGGAGGAGCATCACCACCATACACACAAGCTGTTGCCAATATTCGACTCGTTGGCGTTATCACTGCACATGTTCTGTTTATGGTTTATGAACAATTTAAAATGAAGAGTATGGACAATGTTCACATGATTGGTCATTCCCTCGGAGCACACACCTGTGGCTACACCGGAAGCACATTGCAAAAGGATTTCAGTCTTAATTTGGGAAGAATTACAGCTCTTGATCCAGCCGAACCCTTGTTTACTGCCACCGAATCCATCGTTCGCTTGGATCCAAATGATGCAAAGTAATATTTTTGAAACAAAAAAAAAATCAAATAAAAATATTTTTACTAAAATGAACTGTCTTGTGCGCATTAGGTTTGTCGATGTTATACACAGTGATATTTTGCCGTTTTCAAGAGGAGGTCTCGGCATGCCAGACCCAGTTGGACATGTCGATTTTTATCCGGTATGTATGAATTTATTGTTATTTTTTGACAATTTATGTACTAACAGTGTAATGTTTTACAGAATGGTGGCCATACTAATCCCGGCTGTGACAAACCAATGCAACATTACATTTTATCATCGGGTAAGTTACACATCGTGTTCGATTTACTGATCTCATTTCACAAAAATATTTGGAAAAAAAATAACCATCTATTTTTCCAAACAGGAAGTTTGAGCGTTGGATTTCAGCAATTTTTCAGCTGTAATCATGTTCGCAGTCAAGAGTTTTTCCTGGAAAGCATCCAAACAAACTGTACATTTACTGGCGTTGCTTGTGATTCATACGATAGTTTTTTGAGTGGCCAGTGTACTTGTAGAGGAACTGATAAGGGTTTCTGTTTAAGATTCGGTCTCGATGCGGCCTTAGACTATCAACGACTCATTGGTACAAATCAAGTGGCAAGTGGACAACCAATAAAAGCGTATTTGATGACTGGACCGCAAAAACCATTCTGTCGATCACATTTCAAAATGACCATTTTCATGTCGGGAACTATTGAAAGTGTGGGTCATGGAGAAGAAGTCGGTATTCTAGCGGTTGAAGTGCAATCGCTTCATGGCGAGAAAACTGAACGAATTCGATTTTCAAGAGAACCAATGTAAGTGTCGACTATGATACCTAATTATTATTTTTCACCTGAAAATAATATACCAAATCTGAATATATTTCCTTATTTTTTCCACAGGAGTTTCGAACCAGAAAAAGTGTACAGCTCTGTAATTCCCGGCCGTGATGTTGGAATACCCGAATCGGTTACTTTAAATTGGGAATACCGAACAAATCCCTTAAATCCACTCACATGGCGTATTGTTGCTCCGCGAGTTTACATTCAAAACATTATTGTTGAATCTCTTGAACACAATGCAAGGTAAATTGAGTTTATTGAGTCGATTCAAGCCTTAAAACGAGTTTACTAACAATTTCTTTGAATTTCCAGAGTCATTATGTGTCCAATTTATCAATCTGAGCCGGTTGTTTCGGGCAAAGCAAGTGAATTCCGTCACGAATTTTGTAACTCATATCGCAACGAGTGAAATAATTTACACAAAATCTAGCATAAGATTTTAATTTATAATTATCTTTCTACTTACATTATCACTCAATTTTGAGTTCAAGTTCATTAAATTGCCAGTTTTTCTATCGCACGTAAAAATGATCACCGAAAAATCTCATTCATGTAAGACAATTTATTGAATTCATGTAGTTTGTGTAGTTCTAGCACAAATTTATGTTATCAATTGGTGATAAGTAACATTTTTACTTTCGATTTTTATTTTGAGTAGAATATTTGGCGTGTATTTATAAATATGTTTGCTTATTTGTAGTTTGCTAAGCGATTTGTATTATAGATTTAATATTAAATAATATTGATTTATGCAAACACAAAATGTTTTTGTTCAAATTTTTCATAATGTTTCAATCTCATCATGATGTATGTAACACTTATAAGAGAAGATGAAATTCTGATTCTTTTGGATGTTGTGATATTGTTGTTTTTCAGATGTGAAGAATAAATGTAAATAATGTTGCTAAACAATTTTCATTTGCATTTTTGTAATTTGAACATTGGCATTGTCTCCTATTCCAAAATTCGACAGCGAAATATGGCATTCAGAAGAGACAGTACACAAAAATGTCATGTTGCTTCTTTTTTTCTTATACTTTTTTCTACATTTCACAGCGACAAGGAACACACACATACACGCACAATGCACATCATGTGCAGCACAAGTATGTATTAGTACAAACACCCGCACAATAAACAATGCTGTCAAAAAAAACATCCAAAAGATTGTGAATATAAAATGTTATTTCCTTTCAGAGGCTTTTTTTCAATTTTTATTTCGTTTTTTAAATGCATTTTTTCAAAAACAATTTAAATGTGCCGCTAAATCTATAACGATACTGTTTACGTTTTGAATGTGAATTTAAAAAAAAAAGTATTGTCACATAATATTCTGGCAACACTAATTGAGTCGATTCAATGAAAATGACTTAAGTTTGACATTTCAACCCCGTCATAGAGTTTTTTTTAAAGTCTAACGCTTCTTTGTTTCGAGAATTGTTTGTATCTATTGTTTTGTATATTTAAAATTTTAACCAACATTTTGTAATCATGTTGAATTCATTACCATTTAAAATCGAATACTCATATGGCGAAAAAACGTGCAAAAAATGTGAAAAAAAAATTCGATCCGGATGCTTAAACATAGCGATCTTAATGCAGTCCGAAGATGATGACTGTCAGTATGCTGATTGGTTTCATCAAAAATGTTTCTTCACAATCCGCATGCCAAAATCTCCAAAATTTTTCGATGGTTTCGCAAAAATTCGATATGCAGATCAGATCGCGATTAAAAAACAATTGGGTAAGATTCAAAATTATTAAGTATTATAAACGAACATTTTTAACAAAATTGTGTATAAAAATCAGGAAATGTCGAAAACGAAAATAATGAAAATAAGATACAAAAAAAGGTGGAGAAGGCCAAACTACCAGATTTCCATATTGGATACACAAGGTCAGACGGTGATTCGTGTGCAAGTTGCAAACAAAGGATTCAAGTTCCTGATATACGTATCATGCATGTTGTTTACAACACCGATCTAACTGTCGAAAATGACGCGTTCACCGCCAAAGCATGTTTTTATCATGTTGCGTGTTTTGTGCGTTTAAGGTATTTCTCTTTTTCCTCTTTTTCATTTACCAAAAATTGATTTATGTATTTCTCATGCTTTAAAGGTATGAGATGAGCTGGTTGGAGTCAGCATCTCTATTACCAGGATTTAAGCGATTATCAGAAAAAGACAAAGAACTGGTCAATCAACAAATTCCGTAAGCCGCATTCATTTTATATATTTTATTTAATTTTTTTTAACGTTCGTACAACACTGATCATGATACAGGATTATAAAGCGAAAGTTTCATGTCACGACGAATGATGTTGATCCAAACTTGGCCGAGCTGGAAAAACGTATTGAAACCCAGAATAGAGAATATTTTGAGTTATACGACAAGCTGGCGAAAATACCAAAAAAGGAACAAATCGACATTTTGAACTACAATAATGAAACCATTCCGAAAACGAAAAATGAGGTTAATGAAAAAAAATATGATCTTCTCGATAACAAACTATGAAACCAAAATGTTAATAATTATTTTTCAAATTAGATTCTACATGCGCTAACTGAAATCATCTACTATGGAAAATTATCCACTTGTGAAAAATGTTATGGTCGGTTGATTTTCAATAACACAACATATTCGTGTACTAAAATACTAGAATGGGGTAAATGTATATACTTTCATCTATAGTTTCATTTTCCATTCCGATCCATTACGCATTGATTAATTTCCATTTTTTCCATTCTTTTCTTCTGATCAACTCTTAGGTAAATGTAGCAATAATATCAATGAACCCAAAAGATTCCAAGCTTATGTTCGATACGAAATATGTAGAAAGTATCCATTTTTGGACTCATATATTGTGCTGTTTATCGCTAAAAATGTTCGCACCCGCGCTTTGCATCCTTTTCGATTTGAGAATGAAAATGAAATTGATCTGGTGAATGAGTAAGTCTTTACTAGTAATCTTAGGTAAATTGCAATACAAAAAACGTTACGATTTCTAGGTGTCAGAAAACTCCACCACTTTTGAATATGGAATTTGCAATAATTGGTAAGTTAAAATTGACGAAGCAAAGTATCGAGTGTGCCATTAGGCAAATGGGTGGTCGTGTTGTTGAAAAAATTCATGACAAATTGGCTGCTGTCATTTCAAATCAAGACGAAATTGAGCGTATGGGATCTAAAATGATAAAAGCTAAAGAATGTAATATTCAAATCGTTTCTGAGGAGTTTTTGTCGAAGATGGAGACGATCGATCCGTTTGTGTATATCATCAATAGAAGTTTGAGTGAATGGGGAGGAAATGTTAGTGTCTGCCTTTTCTGTGTTTTCAGCATATTTGTAAAATTCAGTAATTTTCACTGACCATTTTCAGCCATATTCACGTATTGAACAACCGACGATTGTGAAGTCTAGAAGAGAAACAATCTACTATACAAAATCAGTACCTGAAAAAATCACATATAAAATTAATGGTAATACTAAAAAAAGAAGTTATTTGTTATTTTTGTTAAAATTTAATCTTTGTGATTGCAGACGGTGGTTCAAATTTAGTTGACTATGATAGTGGTTTGCAACAAACGGCTCACATTTTCTGTGAAGAAGTGAACGGAAAACAACTCAAGTATATAGTAATTTGTGGTCTTGTTGACATTGAACGCAATAAGAACTCATATTTTCGAATGCAACTGCTAGAATCAAATGATGAACCTAAAACGTAAGTAGAATTTTTATTATGAATGTAAATAACTCTATGTGATCAAAAAATTATTTATTTAAGCTACTGGATATTCGAAACATGGGGACGAATTGCAACAGTAATTGGATCCAAACGGCTTACTCCTTATGCAACGTCGAAAGAAGCTACCGAAAAATTCCGATCCATTTATTTGAACCGAACTGGCAACGAATTTGGGAAATATTCATTCACAACAAAGATGCCAGGAAAATTTTACCATTTGGATATTGATTTTGCATTTGCCAAAACCATACCGAAAACTTATGTAGCAACGAAATTGAAAGAACCCATCCATCAGCTAATGAAATTAATTTTTGATATGAAGCATATGAAACAAATGATGATTAGTTGCGATGTTGATTTAAAGCAAATGCCATTAGGAAATGTGAGTTCAAACCAAATTTATTTGGCAATGTCCGTTCTTAAAAATATTGCAAAACTAATCGAAAATGGAACGATCGGACAACTTCGAGATGCATCTAACCAATTTTATACGATGATTCCACATGGAAACAGTGTAAAACGTTTACCGATCATTGACTCAATCGATGTGGTTAAATCCAAGATTGAAATGTTGGAGAGTCTACTACACATGGGAACGATTCATGGTTTCTTGGAAGGTGAAAATGGGGAGAAAAAGAATCCATTGGATGCCTGCTATGAGAAAATGAAGACTGAAATTGAGCCGCTCGATAAGAATGCGCTTCAATTCAAACAAATTTGTGAAATTGTACAAAATACTCATGGAACAACACATGATCAATATAGACTTGAGGTCCTCGATGTATTTAAGTTAAGGCGAAAACGAGAAGACGTTCGGTCGCGTGCATACAAAAAAATTGAACATCAACTTCTCTGGCATGGTTCACGGCTTACAAATTTTGTAAGCATTCTCTCAAAAGGACTGCGAATTGCCCCGAAAGAAGCACCGGTGAGTTTTTTTTAAATTTAACTTATTGATGCCATTCTAGGACATTGAAAAATAATATGTTTTTATTCAAAACTTTAGGCCACCGGATATATGTTTGGGAAAGGGATATATTTTGCTGATATGATATCAAAATCAGCCAATTACTGTCATCCAAGCCGTGAAAATAACATAGGGATAGCGTTGCTGTGCGATGTGGCGATTGGTACGACACATAATCCACGTTATGCAGGCAACGTGGAGAAGTTACCGAATGAATGTGAACAATCAGTTAAAGGATGTGGCGAAATATATCCCAGCGAATTTGGAACGATTGATGGTATTAAAGTTGCAACGGGCGGCTTGCGAAAGGCAGAATTTCAAACATCTCTTAAATACAATGAATATGTTGTTTACGATATTGCACAAGCCAAAATGAAGTATTTGGTAAAGTTAAAGTACCATTTCAAATAGATTATGTAAAATTAAAGATGATTGTAATATCAAAAACGTATTTTGTAATCATTCCTTCCATAATGCTATTATATTGTTTATACCATCTTTCATAACAACATTGATTTAGTTTAAGATTTTGTCAACATATTATAAATTTATTAAAAATTATTCAACAAATCGAGATGCAAAATAAAGGACAACGGCAACGATCAAATAATTTTGAATAGTATTTACTCATTTTAAAACGACATCAAAACTAATTCCAAGTTTGACATAAAAAAAGGAACAAAAATTGAGTGTAAGTAATTTGATACAAACCTGTACGCCAAAAAAAACGATAAATATCTCTAAAGTGCTAAAAACTACAGAAAAAATAAATAGAAGCAATAAAACCACGCTAGAAAATATTTTGATTTCAATTATATATATTTTTTCGTCATTGAAATTTGATGAGGCATTCACAATAAAATGTTAAAAATGTATTTTTTGTTGCTTCGTTACATACACATAAATTTCTCACGTTTTGAATATAATAATAATAATATTCTGGCGGCGAGTTTAGTAAAGTGTCTCGTCTTTCGATGTGTTTCGCCCATTCAATAGATTCACAATAATAATTCTATTTTTTTTTTCTTTTTTCAAATAATTGTCAGATTGATATACAACATCTATATATGTGTTACATCATATTAAATTGATAATAATTTGTTCGAAATTTTGAATAAATATTAATAAAAAATAATATACTTTGAATAAACAAACAAACAAACAAACAAAAAATGCATACTATGTATAATATAATTTATAATGGATTAATTTTAAATTCAAATCTGTGTCTGTTTGAGTGTGTTTGACGTTGCGTATTTGTTTGTGTGTCTACGTGTGTGTTTGTGTGAGTGTGTAGGTGTTTTAGCAGTACATCATTCTATTCACATCGATAAAACTCCTTTATCTCTCACTTCATTTAACAAGTATTATTATTATTTTTTTATGCACATTAACATGAACTCTAAATATATTTATATAACGACATGTACACATGTTATTTTTTATTATTATTTCTTTAAACTGTATTTATTTTTAAAACAATAGCTTTATAAGGTTAGCACACTATTTTTTTTTTGCTCTAAAGCTAATATAGAATTTTGTGTTGTCCATTCTCTTCAACATGTGAGTGTTTGACATAATGTAGTACGCCCTTTTTTAACATTGGACAGTACATTTGTCATTCAACCAGACAGATTTGTTTTATTCAACACAGTATTCGTTTCATTCTTTTTTAAAGAGAACATCAAAAACAAAAACCTAATTTTATTTTTGGTTAAACTGTCTATAATAATACTTTTCTCGTTCTCTCAATTTGCGTTTTTTTTATTCATTTAAATCATCTCCATTTTTTAAATTTTAATTAAATATTTGCTAAATATCTTGATGTATCAACAACATAATTAATAATAATATATATTCATATATATTAAATCATTTTGTTCCTTATGTTTTGGTTGCCTTCGTTTTTGCCATTTATTTTTGTGTTTTCGTTTATCAATATTTGATAACTATTAACTTGACGTGCACAGTCCTTGTGTTTGTGTTCATAAATGAAAATGGCTGAATAGATACAGTTGAACATTTTAAGAGAATTTGATTAACACTTTGTGCGCATTTGGATTGCTCAGTCAAAGTACAACAACAGACTGATTTTTGTTCCGTACATAGCCCACAATGTTCATTGTGAAATGACAATTGATTATTAAATAAATGGTGTTTTCTTGTAAATACGGATTGTTGTTCAAATTACGTTTGAAAATGTTGATCAAATTGTCAAAAAATAATCCACTTCTGTTTAGTACATGCAAGCAAAGCAATGCAGCGAATATAAAAAAACGACATAATTTTCATTCAAAATTGTCAATTGCTTTTCTTGTTACGGTCAATTACAATTTAATTTTTAATGCATGTTCTATCTCTCCCTATCTCTCTCTCCCTTTCTGTCTTTCTCGCTATGTGCGTGTTTGTGTATTATGTTTTTATGTATTTGAACCAAAGCGATTGAAAGATGTAAATTTTTCACAAAAAGAACGGATTAAATTGGATAGATGATGTTAACAATAATATAATTCGGAAATTGATCGAATAATTACGATCGATAGTATGCGAGGCGGCGTTAGATAAACGGAACCAATAATTAATTCACTTTTCATTCAATAGTAGTCTGGATTGAAACCCAGAAGAATATTTCATAAACCTGAATATTTCATAGTAATAATATAATTAATCTCGACAACAATTACAACGAGAAGAGATTTTTCTTTTGTTTTCCATATATATGCAATCGCATAGAAACTAAATGAATCTCCCTATTTCAAAAAAATTAACAACATCAAATAACAATGGTAGAAGAGTGATTTAAAGGATAGTATATAATATGTAGCTTTGAATGATTTGATTTTGTTTTTGTTTTTTTCTCTGGCATTGGGGTCCGAAGACAGAGTCAAATACACAAATTGAACTGGATGAATGCATTTTAAAAAAGCGATTCGAAGTGTGTGTTTGGATGGTTGGTATTGGACTTGCGAAATTAATACACATTGGTGTCGTCATTCAGTACCGAAATAATTCGACCAAAATCGAGTCGAATTTCAATTGGGCATCACCTATGAGTAGAGCTATACTTATTTCGGAATTTCATTTCGACTTAAGCGCCCATAAATCCATATACTTCCAGCACACGAATTTCAAAATCACCCGATTTGCATAGCGGCGGATTATTGAATGTTGTACAACTATCGGTTTTTCCGTATCGCATATTTTCATCCATCCAAATGGCCTGGCCACCGCTGAAAAATTGAAGAAAACAAAAAAAAAATGTAATTTCCAAAGTAGATCCACACATTTTCGGGTCGGAAATTGAACGGTTTGAATACATACCCGCCTCCAATAGTGATCATTGAAGCATCAGCAGCCATAAAAAGTTCGGAACCATGTCCTAGATTTCTGTCACTATCAATGCCCACCTAGAGATAATCAGAAGAAAAAAATGGAATTAATGGAAAATAATCAACATGTAATGGAATGTAATGCCCACCCAAGGGTATTTCGCACGATCCGGATACAATGAAAACAAAAATGTTTCACCGGTGCCGAAATAAGCTTGCCGATGTCCATTGTCGTCTTTTAGATTTCGTTCAAACCAACGCGTCGAACAATATGCTCCGAATACCTGGGTATCATATTCAATATCAATTAAACGATTAGAGATTCAATAATACAGCCACGGATCAATTGATCCAAACAAAATAGATATTTGCAGAAAGCGAAGAACAAAAAAAGAAGAAGAATGGCATTGAAATGAAAAGAATGAAAATACTCACTTCATTGTTACAAGTTTTAATCATAAGCAGTGTCGGTTCATGTTGTTCAACTCGTACGTAGAATGTTGTCAGCGAACATCCATGCTCTTCTGTTGTGTACAGCAGCGTCGGTGTATACATTGTGATGCGTGCTGGCAGCCACGACCATAATGTAAATAGCTGTGGCAAAATTTAAAATCATAAATCAATCAAATCATTTCAATATGAACAATGTGCGCCAAACAACAACATTTCTATATAGATATATATAAATTCTGATTTCTATTGATTCGAGCCGGTAATACGATATTCAATGATATGATGAACGAGCGATAGTGTGCAAAATGGTCATATCGAGCAAAACAAACGTATATTTATGGTTAAAATATGGCATAGCACAACAAACAAAAAACAATTACACGTAATAAAACGAAAATGTGATGTGGTGAACATTGCCAATTTCACTAAATGAAACATAGGACGGACATAATCTGATATGGATGCCGAATTATATACTTATTACTAATTAATCGAATATGTGTGTTTTTTTTAATTGGATTTTTTAATTTAGGTTTACATGAATAGATCTTAGTGGAACGAATAAAAAACGGACAAAACATGGTGCTACAAACGATTGTGTCAAAAATAAAACATAATCAAAACATGCGTCAATTCGTCACAATACAAATTTTTCATTATGTTGGATTTTTTTTTTCTTCTTTTGTTTTAAATTTTAGTGAATTTAATTCGAAACAAAATACAAAAAAGACGATCACAATAACAAAATCAAAATGAACATTAGTAATGCTATATATTTTTTTAAATAAAATAAAAGAATGGTGTGTGAGGTGTTTTCGTTAGGTGTGCATGTTGGCGAGTGTGATTTTGTCTGTTTCTGTGTGTATTGTTTATGTTTTTGTTTTGAACGGTTTTGTTTTGCGGCTGTGTTCTTGTGTAGTGTGGGTTTTTGCGTTTGTACTTCTCTTTGTTTTCGGTTTCTTTCATTGTATTCAGTGGATTAAAACGTACATAAAGCGACTGTTTTCAATATTAAATGAAAACAATCAGCCGTTTGTTTGTGTACAAATGAAATGGAGGAGGAAAAAACTTGGTAAATTGAATTTACGGATGTTAAACATCAGCTATTGCAGAAAATCGAGATTGAATGTTACAGATTGGAAATTGAAAACAAAATGCATTAAAGGTCAAGGTGATTGGTGATTTTGTGCTTTTGGATTATGGATTGCTAGATATTGCAAAATAGGTTGGCGATCAATAGAAAAAGGGGACCGGCGGAATATTGCAATCAATGAATTGCGTGTCAGGTCAATATTGAGAAATGTGATTTGTGTTCTGAAATTGAACTTGTTGCTGGTGTAATCTGTAGTGTGTAGATTGGGTGCCGTGTGTGGGATTCATAATAACAAAACACATATATATTTTTCGGTACTATTAATTTGACAATATAATCAAAGGAAACATACTTAAAATCATAGATAAAAATATATAGCAAAATCTCTAGATAGATATAGATATAAATCAAGGCAATTATACTAAAACATATGGAGATATTGATACTGACGGGAAAATAGCAACAACAGAAAAATGGAGGGCGGAGGAGTTGTTTGTGTGTGTGGTGTGTCAAGGTAGATAGTACACTAATTAAAAGTGTGTGTGTTGTGTGTGGGCATATTAAAAGGTGGTAGGCATCGTCATTTAAGTGTGCGCATTCGTTCGTTACTTACATCGTCTTGACCAACAACTTGGCTATTGATTCTTTGTATTGGATAGACACCCATTGAAAGCACACGCATATCGGGTGAATGTGCTCCCTTTTATTTGAATTTTGTTTTTTCAATTGATTTTTTGTTCGGAAGAATGTACGTTTTTTTTTATTCGTTCGCAGTTCGAAATTATGATATTTTTTGTTTGGATGAATTGAAATGGGAAAATATTCGAGACAAAACAGTTGTGTCGATCGTAACAAAAACATGTTTTTTTTTCGTTTTTTACAAATTATTTTTTTTTTGTGTAAAAAAATCATTTTCGGTCCGGCAGCAGTAATAAAGAAGAAAAAAATTTATTTAGTTTAATTCCGAAAAAAGCAAAATTTCCTTCTACTTTGTTTTACAGTAAATCGTCTCTCGAAATTGGATGGAAACAAAAAAAAATCAAAAGAAAAATTCACGGATTTCAACACATCCCAAAAAAGATAAACGGTTCACAAGAGAGCCGAAAAAAATTGGAGGCGTTGCTCAAAGAGTATATAAGAGGCGTTTATTTGCATCTCGAACAACAAAACAAACAAGAAAATTCTAACACGTCGGGAGAAATTATGTTCTCATTTTTTTTAGTTTTGATTTGAACTTTAATTTTTTTGTTTTGCATAAAGAGAGAGAAAGATTCTTTTTTTTTAGTTATTTAGTAAAATGTCAGTTGTATTGAGGGGTTAGTCAATGAACCGTGATCGCATACTCACTTCTCTAATACTTAGTGTGTGTGATATCATTTGTATATTTACTTGAGATTGACTCTGAAAATGAAAAAAAAAGAGAAAAAAAAAGAAATGTTGTAAAAAAGAGAAACCTATAAAAAGAGAGAAAATGACTTACCGTTGGTAGATTATCACTAGAACGTGAATGAACTAAACCTTTTGAGCCGCTAAGAATTGTTTTACTTCTCAGCACCATTTCAGTCTTGATGAACACCCTTGAAATATAATTCGAGCTGCAAATTGAAATTGAGGAAATGAAATCAAATCAATAATCCTATCATGAAGCACTTGAATACCAAACACACTTACCTTAGTGCTCTTATATTGAAAGCTGTTCGAAGCAATTTACCCGGTGACACAGGCAATTTACGGCAAAACATCGGTAGTGCCATTTCAATGTCATTGGATTTTTCATCGTTTGCTTTCCAATTGGCACCGATCTTCAAATTGTTTAACTTCATTGTGTCATTCGTTTTTGCTATAGTCGTTGTAGTTGATGAAGCTGTTGATGATGTGGCCGCCGTATTTGTGCCACCATCGCTAACTAGTACTGATGTCGATGATACATTCGGTACATGCTTTTGGTATAGAATCAATATCGCCAACGAAATTCGATAAAACACTTTGATTCCTTCGTGGAAAAAACAATCCATCACACGAACTAAATGTGGAAAGGGAAGACCAGTCAGCACCCACCATGTCCAATTCATGAATACACGTTCCGTTTTTTGACCAGGATATAGCCTCTGTAAATGTGCTACAGCTGATTTCTATTTTGAAAATGAGAAAAAAAAATGAACAATTGATACACCGTTACAGTTCGGAACCATCCAGACACTTACAGCATGCTTTTTGGCTATTTGCATCACAGTTTTCCAAGTTACTTCATACAATAATTTCGTTTGTGTAATAAACACCTTCTCTTTGGCGGCCACTAAGTTGGCTAAACAGTGGTAGCATTCTTCCTCTGGAACATACGAACAAAAACAAGTAAAATATAAATTGTTCGGAAATGATTCAAAACATACCAGACATAAAATGCAGCAGAATGGCTGCAATTGGATAGATTGTTGGACTATAGGTTATGTCAGGACAAACATATGCTAATACACTAACAACACGATCGGCAACTGCTCGTCCTTTTCGCGTTAAATAATATGGCAGGCAATGCGTTGGGTCAACGAACGGTGGCAACATTATTGGCTTATCCGGTAGTTCTGTCGTTCCAAATACCTATCAATTTAATAGAATGACATAGTTTTATAGGTGCTATGAATAATTAAATGAATTTAAATAAAACACAATTTGTTTTCATGCAATTAGAATAAGTTTACTAACTCCTGCAGACGAAAAATCAATTCGATTGACCGAAATTTCAATGAACGTACAATAAGTCAGTACAAGTATAAAGCAAGACTTTCATTAAAGTTCAAATTTAAATGAAAAAAAAAATCCGCATGTGCGGAAAAGCCGACCTGGCCGAACGCTTTTCTAAATTATTTTCATTTTGGGTTACCAAACGTTCACTTTCAACAACAAATGTTTCATTTCAAAATGAAATAATGTTCAAAAACCAGTACTGTCATGAATGAAAATCAATACGGTTGGTATGCTTGGACATCGATTTTTAAGATTTCGTTTTGCATTCTGAATCGTTGAAAAACAATGGATTTTCTTTATTCAAGTTATGTGTGTTAAATTATTGTACCAGATGATGAGTCGGCATTGAAACAGTGCAAGACGAAATCAATTGGATCAGAGCCAAAAAAGTCGTTTTGCCAAAGACGTCATTTTATAGATGACGCGAACTCATTTTTATTCGAAAATCAGAGCTGTTATAAGCCGCGATACGGGTAATTTTCTTGTAAGTTCTATCTTCAATTTTGATGCATCAGTTTCAAAAATTATATAGAATAACTATTCAGTGCCCTCACTTCTCCAATGTCAACAAAAGCTCTGTCAAGAATGAAATCCTCAGCAAATGTTCATTTTCGAAGTCAAAAAAGGGGATAGTTGTTTACCTGATTAACCATATCCCAATAGTATCCCTCCAGCATGCTTTTTCCGACTTGATGTTGGCTGCATATCGCTGGCCATAATTGTGAACGTATCGTTGAATTAATCGGCCATGCATTATCACGTATCAATAGTTTAACCTCTCGCTTTTTACCTTGACTGAGTAGCGCTTGAACATCTTCGAATGTTTTCAATGGCGGTTTTTTCTCTACAACACAAACATGAACAAAAAAAAGTGAAAATGTGGATATAAAATGTTCAATTTATGAACGAAAAAAATTTTTTGTTGATTTATTTGTATATGCAAATAGTCGCCCACTCACCAGATGTTGGCGATGGATCGGGTAGTACGATTTGCGATCGATCAACGTGCGGCGAAAAACCTTCATAAATATCTGATTCTTCGTCGATGCCGCTCAACTTGTCTGCGTTGATCGTATCTCCGTTTAATGGCATATTCAATTTGTATCTTCCACCAATTTTTCGTCTGCGTTTGGTCGCAATTTTGGCTTGCTTTTATTGTATTATCGTTTCACCAGGAAAGAAATTAAGAAATCGTTGTGTATGTATATGAAATTTTTCTTTTTATCTCTCTTTCTGGAAAAAAGCAAAGCAATTACGGCAATTCAATGGTACACGTTATATTGTCACAATCAATTAACGTGTTGCAATTGAATTGAAGCTGATCTCTTTTCATATACCCGACAGCGGTATATACCTCGAACGGATGAATAAATTTTCGCTGTCCAAAATCGTCTAGCGAATAAAATTTCCAGAATCACGTTTCAGCTAGATGGTTTGAGACTTTTTCGCTCTCTCTTTCTCTCCACCCTGATTCGTGGTCTTTGAAATGTGTTTGCAGCTTATTCGAACTGAAGCGCTCGTTTTCTTTTTATTTCAAAATTTTAATTGTATTTATTTAGTTGATTATGGACTAGTCTCAATTTTTAACATTTATTTATAGTTTTGCGAGCATTTGACATTTATTTTGTGCGTACTTTTCTATCTCTTCTCTGTACAATCGATTTCTGTTGAAAACAGTGTTATTGAAAGAAGAAGTTGAGCAAATTTAACGTGCGCCAGCTCGATTTCGAAATATTCCCACCACCAATAGATGTGTTTGCTTGTGATTTACTTTTTTAACTTTAAATGTTAGAATTATCGCATCGACAAGAATGACTGAAGAAGAATCACTTTTAAAAGACTAGATCACGGTTTTATAGATTGCGAGACTTTTTGTTTCACTTTATTTTAATTGGAAATGTTTCCGTTATTGATACGTATCTTTTTATTATTTTACTACTTTGTTAAAATTCGCAATCATTTACGACGATTACACAAAGAGCAAAAAAATATTCACCTTATTGATTTCTTTTTGTTAGAAATAAAAAAAACACTTGGGTTTTGTTCAGTCACATTGCAGATTTTGTTCACACTTTTTTTTCGGATAGACAAAAAAATAAACGTCAGTAGACCAGCAACCTTCCAATGAAAAATTCGATTCCGATATGTTACTGTTGCGGCCTTTGTTTGCTATCACTGGATTAACTCGCTTTTTCTCTCTTCCGCTACTCGAGTACACTCTTCGAATTGTCTTTGTGTCGGTGGTTGCTTTAAATATGTGCTCCTCAAGCACAAACAGTCTACATATTTACTCGAATTTGTGATATCTCTATTAAGACAATTTTCAGCACTGATTCGATGCAATTATGGTGATTCCATAGTGTGTTCTGAAACAAAGAATAAAAATGATTAATAAAACCCCAAAAACCGATTGATTTCACACACAAACTCAAAGAGTGAGATATGCATGGGTGCGTTTTGAAATGGCAACACGATAGTTGTACGACATATGTTGAGCATGTGACCTAATGGTAATTTACGTTTCAAATACGTTCGTTGATTGGAAAATTGCATGAAAAAAAGCGATTTTTCGATTGTCACATTCGTTTTGTAGCGATATAATAATTAGCACCATGATTGGAATGAATTTCAACGACTTTTTGTCTTAATGCGTATAGTTTATTTTTTTTATTCATTTATGTGTTTTTTTTCGCAGCATTTTAATAAATTATTCATTGAGGCCAGATTTAAGTGCACAACGACTTCATCAGAAAAAAACGTACACACGTGAATGGATCGGTGTATCTTTATATATGTTCTAAGTTGTTTTTTTATGTTAATATTATTATTTTTCTCAGGCTGATTTGTTGTTCTGCGTCGATTCAAGTTGATTAGTTACATGGAAAAAATATAAAAGGAGGTGATTTGGTCCCGTGGTATTATAATTGGAGTAGTTTTGAGAAATGTAAATCACGTGAAGCGTCGAATCACTTGAAATAAACACACACACACACTCGCTATAAATCTAGAATATGAATACTGTCTCTTGCAAATCCAATCAATTATTATTTTATGGCTTTTGCACTTGTCGAGATTGAAAAGAGAGCGAAAAAAAACAGTCGTGAAATCCAATCTGATCCGCCTGAGAATTGAATTATACATGCGCCCATTTCATAGTGAATGCTTTTTTTTCTCCTCTGTCGGTGAGCTGTGCGTTAGTGCCACTACTGCCACTATTGCTGCTGTTGTGGCTGTTGTTACGCCGCTGTTGCTTCGATGACGAAAACAATTATGCTATCGGTCAATAGCTTGTGCCTTAACACACACTACGATATAATATGTGAAAAGTGTCAAGTTTATAAATATACGCTCACGCTGTCGCCTATACGATTTGAAATTAAACGCAATGCCCAGCATCACTGAAGCGATTTTCTTTCACTGCAAACGGCCATATTTTCGAATTCAAAGTTTAATATTGAATCTCATTTTTTCTCAATTCAATTTTATTTCACTTCATTTCCCGTCATCTTCGTTCACTTTTCATCGCAAATTGACATTTGAGACAAGAGCGGCAAACGTCATCACTCAAATTGGATAATCAGAGTTCCATTGCTAAACCATAAATTGTGTGCATCATTAAAGTAATTTTAGCGAGAAAGAAAAAAATGGCATCCAAATGCAGAACATGGTAAATAAAATTGTCCGTCTCACAAACTCTGGTCAGTCCGACAAATATTTGGGGTCGGGGTTTTTGACTTTACATTTTGATATCATTTTGAAAGAAAAAAAAACGCGAAGACAACGCAACAATTTTGTGTGCACTTGATATTAACATTTGCGTCGCGCAATTCCTTTTTGCACTGTGTCTCACTTGTTGCGTATCGAATGAGCGAGCGAGTGAGCAAAACGAACGAGCGGGGCTAGTAAATATGTGCATTGTAAACATCCGATAATAATGGTTGGTTCAACCCCGGTGGTGTGAGCGATTCGGTTTATTCTGGAAATTACTCGTCCATTTTACTAAAATGTTTGTCTCATTTCAACGATTGAACTCAATAATCGTAATGTGTGGTGTTTGTGTGGCTTTTGGATTCACTTGAGATTAATGCGAATTAAATGGCTTGTGTGTGCAAAGTCTGACTTCGATTCAAATCAATGCATATCCATACCAAAATAAGAGCACTAATGTGATTTCGTTTGCCGCCGACTTAAAATCATTCGGAAGACAAGACACTTAAAGGCTGGCTTGATTTTTCGTATAAAAACTAAAGTCGCAATTCCATAAAACGGAAGCACTTAATTATGGGCTCGTCTACGCATCCACATGAATTCACCGAATTATATCATGGTATCGTCGCTAACAACGACACATTTTTTAAGTGTCTAAATTACTTAACGGCCCCAAAACCGGCACTTTATTTATTTGTGGCATTCGCAGATTAGAATTTTCTATTGCTGCATACAACAGAATGGTTGGATGGTTATCACTAGCTGGATTCTCTCTATGTACAACAACAACAAAACAAAAATTACCCATTCATTTATGGCAATTGTGGCGATGTTGTTTGCATTTGATTGAACATTTCAAAGATGAATGGTAGCACTTAATCCACCTACGGTGTTAGTTTTGTTTGCGCATCTCATCTGGATATGAGATTTGCTATGCATTGGATGATAAAGTATGATTTCGTTTTGGCGGAGCTTTCTTCTTCTTCGAAAGTATTGAGAGAGAGAGAGAGAGAGAGAAACCGAAGTTTCATTTGAAAACAGACGAGACTGAACGTTTTACAAACACTATTGTTAGCATTTAACCCATCTGTCACCTTAAGAACATAAATTGTCATACAGGCCATACAATTTCAATCGAACATAATAATTCAATTTAAATAAATCCAAGACCAAACATGGTTAATTGGCTTTTGAGTCGCACGAACGCGCTCACACATATACACAAAGTAATTTTACAAATAAAATCAAATTAAATGTATTGCCATTGATAGAGATGGATGTGTTGAGTGTGTGTGTACACATGTATTGAATGACGGTGCTTTATATAGATTAATAAACATGGAACCACCGTCCGTTTCTCACGTACACTATGAAATTGCATCAATCGAACCAGCGATCTAGCAACGAGCACGTCGTCGATAAAAGACGAATGAAAAGCAATATAATATTAACATAATGACAATAACATTCTTGCTGTGCGAAAACAAAATAGTGTATTGGCAATGACGTTGAAATCGATTGAGCGCGAGCGTGTTTGACAATTGTTTGCTGCACTAGCCAAAGCGAGATCGAACCCGAAATCAAACAGCCTGATCAGTTTTTTTTTTAATCAAACAACGAAAGAACCGATTCGAAAACTACACATAAACAATATGTCTCTCTTTCTCTCGCTCTCTATCATTTGATTATTTTTTTTTAAATTCTGAACATATTGTTACGTTCGCAACGTTTATAAATAATTTTGTTTCTCTCTCGTTTTGTTTGTGACTCTTTTTTTTCGTTTGCTGTTTTCATTGAGCAGCTAGGCATGCCTCGCATACAACGGCAAACAGACACACACACAATCACATATTATAGATGATGATCGTATGGTCAATGTTTATAAAGAAACGGCACCTACTAATATCAGTACGTGCACGTTCGGCAAATAGCGAAAAAAAAATTAATATAAATACATTTAATTTACGAAGAAGCAAATAAACAAAGTTAATCGAACGGCGAACGTGAGCGTACTCTCGAAGCAAACACATACACACAAATGAAACGCATTGCGGTTTCAGAAAATGATATAAATATTATTCGCAAAACTTTTTATTATTGACCTGATATCTGACCAAACCGCGTAAGATAACCGATGTGCAGAGTGAAGGAGCATACGTGCTCATATGTGCGACGATGACGATGGTGAATAATAAATGAAATAATAATCCACACATACAAAAACACACACACACACCCAAATAGATGACACTAATCAAATCAGCACCGATTATCCAAATACAACAGAATTAAAACGACGGCATACACATTATTTCTCATTTGGCAACCACAAAAAATCAAATTCACATTTATCCTAATCAGCATTTGTGTGACATAGAGAAAAATATTCACAATCATAATCATATGTTCATTCGTTTCATTAAACTTAAATTGTTTGACTTGTTCATTCATAGAGGTTCATCCATGGTTATCATGGTTTAAAGCTTTTGGCCTACGGTTGGTTTGTTCGGTTTCAGGATTTTACAATTATTATATAAACGCTGCGATTTTCTATTATTTTTTTTTTTTCATTTGCATAAATGTGCAGCTATATAGCGTTCATTTCAATTAGCTAATGCAAGGCTCGAGACAATAAGTGATTTATCAATTTACTTTCAATTTCCTGATGTGACTGAGATTCAGTGGAATGCATTATGACGCACATTCAACTTCATCCTGGTTGCTTGCAACAAGAGACGCCCACATCTATATATAGGGAAATTACAAGTACAATTTAATGCTGTCACACTTAATCGCGTCCAATATTTACGGACGATTTATTTGTCATTAAAAAACTTCAATACTGTCGACCACACTACAATTGTTGTATGCTTGAACTTCGTTGTTCATTCAATATACAACTGAACTGCAGATAGAGAACGATATTAAAAAAATTTAAATAATTAGACGATTGCGAGCACCTGCATAAGTGTCGTTTCAAGTTTCTTTTTTAGCAAACAAAATACTCGAAACGGCACATCGATTTTAATGAGACACAATCGATTGATTGATATTATTATAACGATTTATGTTTAGATCATTTTTCTCACGTATTATTTCCATTCGTTGTGTTCAACGTCACGCTGCGATTGTATGTGAGCGAATGAACAATAGATGATATAGAATTTTAAACCGTAAAATAAAAGTGAAATAGTTTTGAATGATTTGGACTGATTGTAAAAGCATCACATGACCTTCACATCACAATTGCATTATTATGAACGAAGAAAACACCGACTCAA